TGGTTCTAAGATATCAGGGCAGTTTTCCTAGATAACTCTTTCAAATAGCATGTCTAGGTTCTTTCTTTGATCCTGGATTTCTGGTAATCTAACATTTCTTAAATATTTCTCCTGTATCTACTTCCAAGTCAGTTATTTTTCCAATGAAATATTTCACATTTTATTCTATTTCTTTATTCTTTTGATTTTGTTTTTATTGTTTGTTGATGTCTCATGGAATCATTAGCTTCCACTTGCCCAATTCTAATTTTTAAGGAATTATTTTAATCAGTGGTTTTGTGTATGTGTGTGTGCCTCTTTTACCAAGCTATTAATTGTCGTTTCATAATTTTCTTCCTTTGTTTTCATTTCTTTACTTAATTTTTTATCTACCACTCTTATTTGATTTTGAAAATTATTTTTTAAGATTTCCCAGCTTGTGTCCAAATTAATTTTTTTTTCCTTTGAGGCTTTCCTTGTTGCCGTTTTGATTTCGTTGTCTTCTTCTAAGTTTGTATCTTGATCTTCCCTGTAATCATAGTAGCTTGCCATTTATGATAACATTCTTTTTGTTGTTTACTCATTTTCCTACCCTATTTCTTGATTTGGAAATTTCTGTTAACATTGGGCTCTGTTCCCTGTGTGGAAGAGGAGAGAAAAGGGGCACTGCTGTTTCCAGAGCTAGTTCTGGGGTTTGGAAGTTTTCAGTGCTTCTAAAGTGGTGTGATCTGGGGAGAGGTGTGGTCACTGCTCTCTTAGTTTGCACCCAGGTCCTTACCAGTCCTTCCTTGGGACTGGAAATGATACTTGTCCTTAGGGTCCATGATTCCTTGGGACTGGAAGTGATACCACCTTGTGGGGTTTCCACTCTGTCCTGATTGAAAGTGCTTTTCTCTGCCCTTGAACTATGACCCAGAAGTGAGTATAGGCAATGGAACTTCCAAACAGTGGCTGGTCCTGCATCCAGTGCTAGCACAGGGGTCTCTTATAATCTCTGACTTGAGAGCTCCCAAAACTGCTACTGCTTCTATCTCCACCACTTAGTGTCATCATTGATATTTCATCCACGTGGGCTCTGGGCCAGCCTCCTCCTTTGTGACATAGATTTCTCTTCTAATCTCCTATGTTATCTTGAGCTGGAATAATAATCTCGCTCTGAACTTTAGTTTGCTCTGTCCCTCCAGAATTTGACGTGAGACATTATTTCAAAGTTTTTTTGGAGAGGAATGCTGGGAGAGATCAGCTGAGTGCTTTCCCTACTTCACTGTCTTGGCTGCGCCTCCAGAAGTCCTCAGAGTCACTTTTTCTAGGAGATAACTGGAATTCCTAAATACATCCTCTGTTTTTAAATGATTCAGTGAAGAACTGGCACCTGCTGATCTGTTTGGCAAATGACAGTTTAAAATATTTGGATTCCCTCCTGAACTTTGCTTTTGCAGCCAAGGCTTTCTGGGAGGATTCCTTGGGAGGACAGATTATACTTCAGAAGTGTTCCAGGCAGCTGATCACCCTTTCTTCTATGAACTTAGTATGAATGACAGCTATTCACAGAGTCATGTGGCCAGAAAGCCAAGAAACATAGCCCTAACAGAACAGTTGGTTAGTATCAAAAATTTCAAAGTAATAAATTTCCCTAAAGTGTGTCAGCCCTAGACTGAATTCAGTATTTCCAAGCTGACCATTTACTTATCATTGCATACCCAAAAACCTCAGCTCTCTTTGCTGCTAATAATTACATATTAATTATATTAATCAAAGACATTAAAGCAGAATTAGTCTATTAGAGATTACCTGCCAACAAAAGTAAATCCTAAACAGAAGAAAAATTAATTGACTCTATTAATTTTTTCCCTATTTTTTTCTATTCTGTCCCTGACTTTTTGGAGACTGGCATCTTTGCTAATGGAGTAATATTAAGATTGTATCTATCTAACTACTATTCTTGAAGATGAGGCCAGGATTCACTTTATAATAATTGCTAGTATTTATATAGTACTTTAAGGTTTGAAAAGTGATGTAAAAATATCTCATTTAATTTTCACAGCAACCCTGTATGCTAATAGCTAGTAAGGTGACTGGGAGGATGGTGATAACCCTCAATAGGAAAGATTTTTTGGGGAAAGATCTTGTACTCAGTTTTGCTGTTAGCAATCCCATTTTGCAGGTGAGAAAACTAAGGCTAAGTGACTTGCCCAGGACCACAGATCTAGTAAGTGGATGATGTAAGATTTTAACTCAAGTCTCACTGACACTAAGTCCAGCACACTATACACTGCATCCCCATGCTACCTCAACAATTTGGCACTGTATTATGGAAAACCCTGATTTCTCAGCTGAAAAGTATATTGTAGTAAAAAATTATTAAAAAGGACTTCAAAAGGCATAGGAAAACTCAGTGGTCACTTAGCTTACTATATGTAACTCAAGGAGACTTAATATCCCCTTATCACAAGAAAGATAGGAGGGTTACATACACCTTGGGGTTCATTGGTATCTCACTTCTTCTCCAAAGGACCTAGGACAGGGATGGGGAACCTGCAGCCTCAAGGCTACATGGGGCCCTCTAGGTCCTCAAGTGTGGCCCCTTGATTGAATCCAAACTTCACAGAACAAATCCCCTTAATAAAAGGATTTGTTCTGTAAAACTTGGACTCAGTCAAAAGGCCACAGGTTCCCCAATTCTGATCTAGGATTAGTCAACAAATATTTACTGAATACATATACTGTGTGGGGCACAACAATGGAAATAAAGGCATGTCTATACCTTCCAGGCATGGACAGTCCAGCTGAAGGGACAAGGCATACAACAGTTGCAGGCCCACAACACATGGATAAGTGTGGCAAGTCCTCTCCCTGGGCTTCTGACTTTGGTCGAAGGCCATTTAATTCATGCACTGAGTGCTAAGGAAAAGCTGCTACTAGATTTGGTTCTGTGGACTTAGTTAGATTTGCTCAGCTACTTCATGATAATATTCCTTCCAATTATTCATACAGTTTACTTTGGGTTCTAGCTACTACTTTATTAAAGAAGGTGAAGTGGAAGTTAGTCCCAGAAGCCAAAGGGAGGTTTCTCACCATCAGTTCTCTGATATAATGCTACATATACCAAAGTTAGATCTTAGATACTAATGAATGATTTTGTCAAGGACTGCATTTCTTAGTTGTCTGTGAGTGTTTGTGTTTGAATGAAGGAAACAATCTTAATAATTTCCTTTCCTCTTTTCTTAACTCTGTAGTCTGATTTCCAACCTCATCATTCAACTCAAACTGCTCTTTCCAAAGTTACCAACAACATTTCTTTATTGGCAAATCCAATGACCTTTTCTTAATCCTTATTTTCCTCAACCTCTCTTGTAGCCTTTGACACTGTTGATCACTCTGTTCTTGACACTCACTTCTCTCTAGGTTTTGTTGACACTGCTCTTCCCTGGTTCTTTTTCTACCCATTTTATCATTCCTTCTCAGTTTCCTTGTGCTGTGTTTTAATCCAGCTCTTACCCCCTAATCATGGGTATTGCCCAAAGGAAGGGGAATGAATGAATGAAATAGATGATACTGTAGTTCATAAAATATTAAGTGGAAGGCTTTCCCCAACCATTTATAGATACAAATAACAAATGTCCAAAAAAAATTCCTCCTCCCAATACACATTTATTTTGGTCCACATGCCTTTCAGAACTCAACAAACTACAACAAATCAGAATAATAGCTATAAATTATTTCAATATGTGGTTTGTATCTACTGGAGAGACATTAATGTGGTAGACATAATACTAGACTTGGAGTCAAGAGAGATTTGACTTTAAACTTTTCTTTGGATTCTTTCATAGTGCCCTTCTCCCTAAAAGTTACCTATTGTACAAACATGAATTAGGTATGAAACAGGTAGTCTTATTCCCACACAGAAAAGGGAATGCTAAACAATAAAGAATCACAGAACAATTAAAATCAGTTGAGAAACAATTAGCCTCATCAGGACATTTTCAAAAAACATTTTTGGGAATCTTGCTTATTACCTATTGTCCCCCAAAGCTCTATCCTGGACCCTTTTTTCTTCTCCCTTTATACTATATTATAGTATCACTTCAGCACCCATGGATTGAATAATCATCTTTATGCAGATGACTCATTTATTTGGTCACCTCAACCTCCTTCTTGACCTCCACATTATCTCCAACTGCCTACTAAATATGTCAAACTGGAAATCTCATAGGCTTCTTAAACTTAACATGTCTCAAAATGAATACAAGATCTTTATCACCCCCCAAACCTTTGTTTTTTCCTATTAGTGTTACCCCTCCTCTGCCAGTCATCCAGTTATTATCTTCAACTTTTCACTCTCCTCATCCCCACATCCAATCAGTTGCTAAGTCTTGTCATTTCTACCTTTTCTTCTGACATTGTTGCCAGCCTCATGCAGGCCCTCATCACTTCATGCCTAGATTACTGCAATAGTCTGCTGGTGGGTCTCCTTATTTCAAGTTCCTCCCCATTCTAGTCCATCCTCTAATCACTTATCAGACTGATCTTCTTAAAGTACAGGTCTGCCCATATCAACCCCCTAATTCAATAAATTCCTATGACTCCTTCTTTCTTCTAAGATTAAATATAAAATTCTCTCCTTCCTCATTTCCACCTTCTGACATCCTTCAAACCTCATCTAAAGTCCACCAAGAAGTCTTTCCTAGTTCTCCTTAACCTTAGTGCCTTCCCCTGAGATGTAACCAAATTTATCCTCCACATATCTTATTTGTACGTAGTTTTCATGTTGTTTTCTCCATTGGATTGTGAACTTCTTAAGAGTAGAGACTTTTTTTTCCTTTCTTTGTATCCCTAGCACACTTTCTGGCACATAGTAGGTGCTTCATAAATGCTTGCTGACTTATCTCAGTACTAGCTTAGGCTAGTCTAAGGAACAGAAACTCTGCCCAAAATTTGTATTTATGTTCCAAAGCCTAATAAAAAGTAGCACCATAGACCTTTTTTTTTCTTTTTTTCTCCTCTTATAGATAGCTACTCACGGTGTATTGATGACTAGGCGATCCCATTGCCCCTTGATGTCATCTTCTGAAGGCTGCTCAGTGATATACAAACCATCAAACTCCAACTTCCTGGCTATTTCTTTTTCCCTTTTGAACACCACCAAAGGAACCTGAGAAATGAAAGAAGATAAGAGTCAGGGAAAGAATTCCCGATCAAAGCTACTTCTCTATTCAGTTATTTCCACAATAACCCTTCAAACATCTAGGGCAGAATTTCCTCTTTTGGAATATCCTTATGGATGGGATTTATGATCTGTTTACATTGGGAACTTAGTTGTTAGAAACAGGCCATCCATGTGGAATCAAGGCCCAGTAAATATCCTTTTTCAATCTTTCTGCCATACTACTCTCAAGGTACTTATCTGGCTCCAGTCTATTCCTGGAAAGTTTCAATTAGTTCCAATGGTCTCAGTCAATCAACAAGCATTTATTAAGTAGCCATTATGTGTTAGGGATATAAATATAAAGGTGAAATACAAATCTCAGGCCAAACTGGATCCTTTAGCTCTGTTGCCTGGACTACTGCAAGAGTCCTCCAGATGGCTTCATGTCCTGAAGTCTTACTCCTCTACGTAATTGCCAAGTTGACTTTTCTAAAGTTGAGGTCTGTTTACTCTCTTATTCAGTAAACTCTGGTAGCTTTATATTGTGTCTAGGAGTGCATATTAACTCCTTGGTTTAGCATTTAAAGCCCTTCAAGACCTAACCTATCTTTCCAGACTTACTACATGTTACACTTTTTTCAAACACTATGCCATTTAGTCATACGGAGTTTGATATTGTTCATCACACCCACCATTCCATTCTTCTGTCTTCCATGCCGAGTATTCACTCTCCTCTTACCCCTACCTCTTAGACTCTTTGTTTCCTTCAAGACTCAGTCAAGTGCCACTTCTACATGAAATCTTTCTTGATTCTCCCTGTTGCCTCCATTAGTTCCCTCCATATTACCAATCACACTATATCTATTTTGTAGACCTACTTGTTTTATGCATCTCATCTCCCTCCAAAAGATTATAAGTTCAGAGGCAGTTTCACTTTTGTCTTAAAACACTGTACTGAGCGCCATGCCTGGGACATACTTGTCACTTAATAAATGCCTGATGTTTGATCCACAGGGTTAAGTTTTGCTTTCCCTAGATTTTACCTGAAAGAAGGGATGATTTTGAGGACAGAGCACTTTTATGGGTAGAAGGAAAGTAGTAGAGACTGTACCTAGAGTGTGAAGATCTCTGTGAGCCCCTTTACAGAGCAAAGAGTTTAGGTAAAACCACCTTCTCCCATACAAAAAAAGAAGAGGCTCAAAGAAAAAATGGGAAGGCACTCACCTTTAAGCAGTAATAGCCCACAACGCACACAAAGGAAATGATGGTGTGGATGATGGCCAGAGCCCTCAGTGTTGGTGCCATGTACCCAGTACTCTCCTGCAGGACAAAGAACACCATCCCTTCTTCTTCCTCCTCCTCTTCATTGAAGGGAGTCCACAGGTTGGAGTCCTCTGCATCATCCTCAAAGGGCTCCTCAGTTACCTAGTCCAAGATACCCCCACCACACAGACACAGACACAGACACAGACACACACACACACAGACACACACACACACACACACACTATCTTTTGAAAGGTGCAAGGAATCTGTGGTCATTAGTCTTCTTAATTCCTTCTTCCCTTTTCATTGCCAACTAATGTGAGGACATAGTTGTAACAATGAATTAATATTGATTTCATATTAACAGGTAAGAACAGGTTAAAATCTGATCATATTCTATTGAAATAAAAATAAATGTAGCAGACTGTGCGAATTGTGTATTTTGTTTTTGATGTCAGTTTGTATGCATGTTACCAAAGAACATGGGTTGAAAATTGTGAAAGCCTTTTGCTGGGGCCAGCCTGAACATCAGGACCAATAAGAAAGAGTGCATTCTATTCAGGCCATGATATCATAGAGTTCTGGGTTGACATACAAGGCAGATTCATGGAGCTAAGTCAAGTGCAGATGTATCAGGTACAATGGCTCCAAGAAATCAACAGAGAAATAATTTTCACTTTGGAGAAGCTATACAGGCCCCATCTGACTAGCTCTATAAAAATGTAGGGCAGGGAGCCCCACACCAGAGAAGCACTTGCCTAAGGAAGTATTATCTCCTCTCCAGGGTCCACCCTTCACCCCTGAAATAAGAAATACCCTGCTTCCTGACCCCATATAATTTCGCATAAGTCTAGAGAAGCTGTCTTTAGAAAAAAGGATGAGATAAGTTAAATGTATAAATATTGGCAAAGAGGTGATAAAATTATCTTTCTTTGCAGATGATAAAATGCTTTACTTAGAAAACCCCAGAGAATCATCCAGAAAACTAATCAAGATTATTAATAGCTTCAGGAAAATAGCAAGTTACAAAATAAATATATAAAAATAATCAGCATTTCTAAAAAAAACAACAGGAAAAACCAAGAGAAAGTAATGGAAAGAAAAAAATCTATTCAAAATAACTACCCAGGGTTTGTATATATGCAGTTATGAAAAACTCATTATAGAAATAAAGGAGGGGCAGCTAGGTGGCGCAGTGGAGAGAACTCTGGCCTTGGTGTCAGGAAGACCTGAGTTCAAATGTGACCTCAGACACATAACACTTAACTAGCTGTGTGACCCTAAGTCACTTAACCCCAATTGCCTCACCAAAAAATCAAAAACAAACAAACAAACGAAAAAGAAATAAAGGACGACAATGAGAGATATATCAGTCATGGTTGGGTTGAGCTGTATTAATATATAAAAATACTACCTAAATTAGTTTACCGTTTAATGCCACAATAGTCAAAATACCAAGAGATGTCCTTATAAAACCAAATAAATGAATAACAAAATGTTTTTAGAGGAACAAAATATCTAGGATAAAGGGAGATTTTTGAAAAAGCAGGAATGAAAAGAGAAGAATGGAGCATTAATCATTAAAGCTATTTGATACTCATTAAAAAATAGAAAAATAAGGTAAGTGGAACAGATGAGATAACCTAATTGAGCACAAAGTTCAATAATTCTAAGAACAAATATAGTAGAAAGGTGACTATTTGATAACAACATCTATGAATACTAAAAAGTTTGGGGAGAACTTAGGTTTAGACCTAACATGATAAAATTTATAATAGTTACCAAATAGATATGGGACCTATATAAAAAAAGACATTTTTATAAAATTAAAGGAAAAAAGGATGAAGCTTTCATAAACATTTAGGGTGAACACTCTTAACAAAAAAAAAAAAAGGAAAGAGGTGATCCTAAAAGATAAAATGGACAATTTTGGTTGCATAAAATGAAAAAGTTTCTGCATAGATTTCTCTTCATGAGAAGAGAAATAGTTAACTGAGAAAAAAATCTTTGTATCACACATCTCTAATAAAAGTATGATGTAAGCAATTGACAAAATATATAAGATCAAAAACTACTCTAATATAGATAAATATTCAAAGGATATTGAATTTAAAAAAACACTGATGCAAATAAAAAACCACTCCAAGCTTTCATCTTGTATTCCTAAAAGTGGCAAAGATTATAAAAAGAACAGGAAAAAAGTTTTTGAGGTGCTATGGGAAGTCAAGTATTGTAGTGGAGCTAAGAATTGGCCCAATAATTATGGAAAACAATTTGGAATTATATAAGAAAAGTCATTAAACTACACCCTTTGACCAAATTAACTTACCACTGGGCATATACCCCATAGAGATAAAAAAAAACCCCAACAGATCCCATGTGTGCCAAAATATTCATAGAAGCACTTTCTGTGGTAGCAAAGAAAAAAAAAGACTATAATAAACAAAGTGGGAACTACTGATTATGGCATAGATGAATAAATTGTTATATACGAATATAATGAAATATTGTTGTGCCATTAGAAATGAAGAATTCAGAGAAATGTGAGAGGGCTGATGCAGAGCAAAGTAAAAGCATAATAATACACATAACGACTACATTCATATTGATGAAAACAACAGAGAAAACAAAATGAACTTTTAACTATAATGATCAATCTTGGTTGTAAACAACAGATGAAGAACCACCTGCTTCCTGGTGGAAGTTACAGAATGTGGCATATATTGTACAATGTAATTGGTATGCCCATTGGTTTTACTTTAACTTATTTCAGGGAAGGGTTCTAGTGAAGATATGTATTAGGAAATGAAATGAATGAAAAGGAAGGGAGGGGAGTAAATTGTGTATGTATATTCCCCAAATGAGCTACTAAAGAGAATTAATAAAACATAGGAAGAATAGCAGTTGAGAAACCTGGAAATTCACAGGAGACATAATCTAAGAAAGGAGCCAGCAATAAAACTCAAAATGCCTGTACACAAATGCACAGAGTATGACTAATAAGAAAAATGAACCAGAGATTCCAAGAGCAGGTAAGAGAGGATGAATAAAAAAACATGGCACAATTTCATAATAATATAAAAGAATGCGAAAGCTCAGAATGAGCTGAAGCTGGGGAAAAAAGCTAAGGCTAATAAAAAAGGGCTTTATTTATTTTTGCTATTTGGGGGAAAAGAAGGTCAAAAAGGATATAACTACTAAATGAGTGGATGGGATAAGGATATTTTGCCTTTGTTTTCTCCACCAAGGAGAATGATTTATAGATTTGAAAATAAATATGGGTAATGAGGAGTTAATACCCAAGATAATTAAGAAGATGGTAAGAGCATTTGAGCAGCTAGGTGGCACAGTGGAAAGAGTTGCTGAACCTGGATTCAGGAAGACTCATCTTTGTAAGTTCAAATCTGTCCTCAGACACTTACTAGCTGTGGGACCTTGGACAAGTCACTTAACCCTGTTTGTCTCCGTTTCCTCATTTGTAATATGAGCTGAAGAAGGAAATGGCAAACTACTCCAGTATCTTTGCCAAGAAAACCCCAAATGAGGTCATGAAGAGCTGTACATAACTGAAAACAACTGAACAACAAGACAGCACTTAACTGCTTTAGATATGTTAAGTCACTCTTCAAATGAATTACATCCTTCATTACAGAAGTAGTGGCAGATGTCACTACTGAGTTATACTCAGTGCCCTTGCAATAAAATCATGGAGAATGGTAGTGCAACTACAGGATTTGAAAAAGTCAAATGTCTCATTTTTTTTTTTAAAGAGAAGAGAATGGGGTCTGAACTATAAGTCAATGAACTTGACTTAAATTTTGGGTAATATTCTGGAACATTGTTAACAAGATAGTGAACATAAAGAATAGAAGTGATGGCTTCATCAGGAACCAGACATACAAGACTATCCTCATTCCTTTTGCTGGCAAAATTACTAAACTTGTGTAAAAGGAAAATGTGTTGGGTTTTTGTTTGCTTTTTATTTTTGAGATGGTTTCTCTATCTTTCCTTGGCTGGAAGTACAACAGCCTCTCAGGGACTTAATATCATTACTGATCCACTGATTGGCACAGGAGGTTTGATCTATTCTGTTTCTCACCTGGGCCGATTCAATCTTTCCTGAGGCAGCTTCACGGCCCCCTGATCCCAGGGGCTCAGCTTCTGAGTGAGGGACTTAATGTGGACACTTGATTGGCTACACTCAGTTGGGTTAGCCCCCTCCAGCTCAAAACTTCTGAATTCAAGTAATCCCCCAGGGATTATAGGCATTATAGGGATGTACTACCACTCCTAGACTAAGGGAATGCTATAGAAACAGTTTACTTAGGTTTTTGCGATGAATCTGATAAAGTGTCTCATGCTGTTCTTAAAAAAAAAGATAGATATGGGTTAGATCATAGTACAGTTAGATTAATTCACAACTTGTTGAACTGCCATGCCCATAGAGTGATCAATAGCTTGAAAAAGGTCTTTAGGAAAGTTCCAAAGAATTTGTGCTTGGCTGTCAGATGTTTAACATCAGGCATTCATGCCTTGGATAAATGCATCCATGATATGCTTATTAAATTTTCAGATAGCTCAAATTTAGGAAGAATAACAAACATTCCCTGATTGAGTCAGGATTCAAAATATCTAGACAGGCTAAAACAATGGGCTAAATCAAATAAAATAAAATTGATAGTAAAAACAAAGTTTTAAGCTTCATTCAAAAATCAATTTCATAAGTCCAACATTAGGGAGTTTTGGATAGACAGAAAATCACCTGAAAAAAAGATCTGGAGTTTTAGTAGGTATAACTTCAATCAGAGTAAATACTATGATACAATATCCAAGAAAATTAATGCTCTCTCAGGCTGCATTAAGATAGGCAAAGGTTCCAGGAATGAGGAGGTGATAGTTGTGTTCTGTTTTAGGCATCACATTTTAGTAAGCACACATTGATAAGTTAGAGGGTATTCAAAATGAGGGCAACCAAGGTTGCAAAGGCCTCAAATTCATGTAATTTAAAGATCAATTGATGGAGCTGGGGATGTTAAGCTTGGAGAAGAGAATGTATAGGGAGGGACTGTATCTGTCTCTTGCATATGAAAGGCTATCACGTGGAAGGAGGACTAGATCTATTCTTCTTAGCCGAGGAAGACTGAACTTAGAGCAATGGACAGAAAGCTGGAAAGAGGCGCATTTAGGCTTAATGTGAAGAAAAAAACTCCTAATAGGTAATTAAGATGCAGTGGGCTCTGAAGATGCTATTTAAGGTTTTCACACATGACTAGATGCCCATTGGTCAGACATGTTATGGAAGGGACTCTTTTATAGGGATTCATTGGATGTGGTGGCCAGTAAGGCTTTCTACTTCCAAAGTCTATGGTTCTTTAGAACCAAGGGTCAGGCCCTTTGGCAAATGACCCTTTTTTTTTTTTAAGAACTGGAAGCTTTTCAAGTGGCGTAGTGCCTGGAGGAAGGCCTCTGGCATATCTTTATGTACTTCATGGACATAAAGCAAATAAATAACCCCTGAATGAGCAAAGGAAGCTTTACCTTGTAGAAGAGCAGGATAAAGTTGATGGCAAAGGCCACAAACAGAGCAAGGAATCTCAGGTTGTAGAAATTCCTGGCCAGGTAATGCTGGAAAGAAAAGAAAATATATAAGAACAGGGGTGGGAGAAGGGAAGGTGAGAAGACATTTTATTCCTTTCTCTCTTCCATGTATTCTTTTTCTTTCCCAAAGTCATTTAAAAAATCTCACTAGGTTAAAATCTTCACTTGTCTAGTCACACCTGCATTGGTAATCACTCTTCTAGAATTATCCTGGCCTTCCTATCCCAGATGTCTTACTTTGGAGCAGCCAGGGAGTGATTTTAAACACTGTGTTTGAGGAAACCCTGCTCTGGACTTGCCCTTTTATAGGGAAGCTAAGTGTTCAAGGCTGCTGGCAGACAGTGGGTAAATATTCTGCTGTGAAGTGGTCATTGCAAATGATGATTAAATACAAAAAGTCGGGAATACTTTGCTTATGAATGAATAATTCTTACTCATGAGAACGAAGGCTGAAGCTGCTACCCAGCGAAGCTGTTTCCCAGGCCCCAGCTCCTCTCCCAGTGGAAGCTTTGGTTGCCAGGGTCCCCACCTCTCTTCTTCCTTTCTTCATTTTCCTCCCCAGCTTAAACCCTGGCAGTGCTTTCCATAAGAAGCTGTCACAGCTAAAGTATAGAATGGTAGTAGCTCAGAGCCAAAGAAAGCCCTGTTTCCTTTAGGGTAATAGACATAGTTACTGGTAGCATGGGCAGGGAAAATGTGCCCCCTCGAAGCTCCAGTCAGAGCTCAAAAGCACTTTCCCATCACTACAACATTATAAAGGTTAGTTGCGTTGTAGAGAATTCTATAGATCAGCTATATTATCAGCTAACTTGGTGTTAATAGACTAGTCCAGGGGTGCAGAACCTGTGGCCTCGAGGCCACATGTGACCCTCTAGGTCCTCAAGTGCAGCACTTTGATGGAATCCAAACTTTACAGACCGCAAGTTCCCCACTCCTGGAACCTTCATAACATTTTTGCATAACAAAATGTAACATTCTGGGTGACAATTTCCAAATGAAACACAACCTAAGGGGATTTCTTTCCATCTATTAAGGTTTTCCAAATATGTGGGAAAGCATTATATATATGAAGACTTTCTGTCCTCCTGGAGAGAAATTAAGCCAAAAAAGGCATGGAGTTCCAAAGACAAAAATCAATCACCAACAAGCATTTATTAAATGAGTATTATGTGCCAGACATGGAAGATAGTTGCTTGCTATTTTTCCCTTTTCTTGCCTTTCTTCTTTCCCCAATGCAAAAAAGAGAAAGATAAAATGGGAGGAACCGAAAGAGAATGAATGTGGTTAGAAGGAAGAAAGGGTAACCAAATAGCAAAAATGAGGTTCCATTGGACACTTCACACCCAGAAGAATGAGGAATACAACTTGAAACATGTGTAAACTATGTATGTTGGGTAAAGTGCTTACCAACATTTTGGTCTGATAGATTTCTAGGCCTTTGAAGAAATTGGCCATGAATGCTTCAGGCCTCTCCTCCTTTTGGCCATGACGGCGCTTCTTCTTGGTCCTTTCCCCACCCAGATTTTCATCTTGTTGCTGCTCCTCCTTGACTGTGTCCTGCTTTTCTCCATCTTCCATACTATAAAAGGGTAATAAGAAAATTAGCTCAGATTAGCTAGGAATGTCAGGCTCAGAAAGATCACAAATGAGAGAAAAACTACACAGAAAGAGAATTTAAGTTAGGTAGGAAGGAGACAAACAGGTAAGGTCCTTAAGGACAGAAACCCTGCTTTATACATTTCTTTATCCCACACAGCACCACCCGTGGTAGGTGTTCAATAAATAGTCATTGAAAGAATGATGAATGAATGGTGTGGTGATACTCTGGTACAGCTTATTGGCTCTTTTAATTTTAGATGGTTCTTCATTTGTGTAGTTATGCAGACTCTTCTCAGGAATACTGGTTCAAAAATAACCATTTTCTTTTATTTCAAGTTGTCATTTATTACATCCTTTTTTCATCCTTTTTTTAAAAAAAAAACCCTTCTCTCATTTACTTTGCACTTAATCTAGTATTTGGTTCTCTCAAATATTTTTCTGAAGTTGCTAAGTGCTGTGCACAAGGTGCATTCTTGGGCTAAACCACTGGGGATAAGAAAGTTATGAGATATAATGAGAAGTTAAGGCCTTTACAATGCATGTAATATGATGATTACAGCTAATACAAAGGAAAACGTGTCCCAGGTTTGAATATCTACTTTCCTACAGCATCATAACAGCACCAACAGCCACAGTGATACTAATTTAGGTGCATTAGAAGTTTCCCAAATCTGATTTTCAAAACTCTTATGGAAGGATGGGGAAGGAGTTATCTAAATATTAAGGGAGAGAAAGGTAAGAAGGGATTGTAGGAAGGGGGAAGGGTATGTGTGTCAAACCAACTAGGAAGATAAAAGAGGAGGTTGTGGAAAAGGAGGAAATGATTAAGAAGAGATCAAAGTCAGAGAGATGCTCAGTCCTAGGAAAAATGCTAGTTGATTTTTCACCACTGAGGTTTGGATGTGCAACGAATTTCTTGGTTATTAGCCATGGCAACTAGAAGAGGAAACACCAAGAAGGCATCAACCAGAACTTACTCTGCTTTCTCAGATTCGACTTTTCCTTCTTTTTCACTTTCGGTTTTCATTTCTGCTGCCTAGAGAAAAAGTAACAGTCAAACAGGATACCGTACTTCCTCCCTTTTTCTCTGGCTGCCTAGTTTTCCATACTAGTAGGAATGTTATATTAATAATAATAGCAATTGTTCACATATAAGTAAAGTCTATATGATTTACGAAGCACTTAACCTACATTATCTCACCTGAAAGATATCAGCAATATCATCAAGGTGAAAAATGAATCATTTTCCTCTCATGAGGATGTGGTCCTGTATGTGTTAATATATCTTGAAAGCCTAAGTCAACTATAGTAACCATGGCTTTTTAAAAGAGAGGCATCTTCTAAGTCACTGCAGATGTACCATCTCATGGTAACAAGCCTCCTTCTGTGTCTTGCTTTTTTTCAAAATTCACTGTGTTTAAACTTTGGCATTCAATGAGAACTAAATGTGGCTTCCCACCAAACATATGGAGGCTGGGATAGGGTTAGAGAATACAAGGTATGCCCCATAGACCATGGTGCATGATGAGAGCTCTCTGGTCAGTGGGAACTCCCTATGCTTTAGGTTCTCAGAGTTTTAGTATCCCAAGATCAGTGCAATTTAAAACATAGTTGATTTATTTAGCTACTGGCTTTAGGTAGCTACTGGGAGGTACATTAGCACTTCTGGGGATGAAGAAGGTGAGAGAAATGGATTATGCTTACCTGTGCTTTCCTTTTCTTCCGAACTGTGCTTTCTAATGTGGGGGGCCCATCATTTCCAATGATCTCAGAGAGATCCCCAAGGCCTGGGTCAGGACCATGCTTCGTGCCTCCCTCCTTCTTTGTGTGGAGCCCGAAGAGATCCGACATGATATCAGCCTCTCCTTTCTCGCCCTTTACAAAGTGCACAAGTTCAGCTGTGATGCTCTGCTCAGTTGCTTCTGCCCTTTCTGCTTCTGTAACATCATCATGGATGCCAAACTGTGTAGGGTCAGGCATGTCACCAAGGATCTTGGTTACTCTGATGTTCTTTGCTCCTTCTACCAAGCCACCCCCAAACACAGTGTTCCAGAGGATCTGAAAGATTCCCCACACAATGGTGAAGAACAATTCGAACAATCCCACAAAAAACATCCAGAAGAAAGAGAAAAACACTTTAACCAGTTCTTTGACAGTCATTTTCTTCACCTTCCTATACTGCTTCTTGAGGTTTCTCAGACTGGCCATTTTCAGAAAACTGGCCACATTTTTCTTCACTGAAACACAGGCTGTGGCAAATGCAGAAGCAGACTCCACTGATTTGTTTTCTTCGTCATCCTCCTCAGCTTCTACTACACAAGAAAATTCTCCTTCATCCTCCTCCTCTTCGGGCCTTTCAACTGAGTCAGGTTCAGAGATTTGGGATGCCAGCTGCATTTCAAAGATTGTGTCTTCACAGAAATTTACAAATAATTCCATCTTTTCCTGTTCCCCACCTTCATTGACAACATCAAAGATAAACTGTCGTTTGGACTCTTTAACCTGTGGTTTCTCCCACTGTGTTCGGCTAGACTCACTGATCTCGAAATAAACACGTTCAATTTTCTTGGCTCCACCCATTATCTCGATGCGCCCCAGATATGGTTCAAAGTAATTCAGGACACTTTCAGCTGGATCCAGCAAACACTGCAGGCGGGAATCATTGGGCATATGTTCTGAAAGATTGGTTAGTAACACAGCCACATTAAACCCAATGTCCTTGGCTGGCTCATGGAATCTGTCCACAAAATCAATGTAATTAAACATGTCATTTTCATCAGCCTCTGCACAGGAGAGGAGGAACTCAATCTCTGACTGGGGATACTGTTTCTGCCCTTCCATAGCTTTCTGGAATTCTTTCTTGGAGATAATTCCTTTTCCATCTTGGTCATATTCTTTGAAGGCATCTGAATTGGTTAAGTCCTTCAGTTTCAGGAACATGTCAAAGAATTTCAAGATCATTTCTACATTGGTAGATGACTCCACAAGGGTGTCAACCATCTGCTTGCCAATGGTTCCATTTACAACATTCCCTGTGAGGCAAGATAAACAGGTACACACACACATATATTGTTGTACTTGAATCATGGCAGAACCAACCAGGTAAAAATTAACTATTCACATTCATATGGTGCTATAAATATTTTTCCTTACAATGAAATTTAAAAATCAGCTCTCATATGTCAGTATAAACACTGCTTCTTTCCAACATGCTACATTGCCCCTCTAACAAGCTATATATTTTCAGAAAACTTGGAGGCCAATTGGGGTCAATTACCTGATTGTGCACTAAACTGTATGCTGGTAGTAAAATATGGAAATATGTGAGAGTAAATCAAAGCAAGAAAAGATGATTTACTAAGAAACAAGGGAGATAGCAGCAATAAAAGAAAAAAATAAATGAAATGGAGTAGCATGGTATCTATGGCATGCCTTCTCCTTTGGCATAGTGCCAGAGCAACTGTATCAGAGGAGTACAGAAGCATAAGTGATACTATTACCATCCCCTTGAAGCCTAAGATAGTTCCCTATTATATGGCATGGTTACAAAGGTTATAGAAGTCTAGCTGAAAAAAAATAAGAAAGGAAAGGGAACAAAGATTGGTGTTTTTTCCTGTAGATGTTTATGTATTTCCTATTGGCAGAAATTGGTTGGCTTTAGTCTTCTTTCCTTCCCCGCTTCCCCCCACTTATTCATCTATTCTCATTTCATTTTCTTCAGATTATGTCTTTCCAATATTTGTTATTAAGCTTGATTTGAAAGACCTGCCAGAAGGAAAATCTGAAAAATCAATGAGACTAGTACAATCACTCAACCAAGAAAATACGCAGCTATGAATTTATAATTCTGCCAAACAGCCTCACCTTCCAGGAGGGATAGGAGCATCACCACCATGTCCTGTAAGAGATCTAAGAGTTCTTTCAGCAACTTGATCTGACTGGAATCCTAGAACAATAACAGGAGACATCCATGCATTAAGTGATCCCTTAACAAAACAGAGAGCAATGAGCAAGCATACTATGCTTTGGGGTAACTGGCTTAAGTCTCCCCAGGCCCCCAAGAACAAACTAGTATTAGAGAAGATAAAGTATCACTGACACAGCATGGTGAAACCTATTAGAACATGGCATATTTAAATATATCAGAATATGGACATCATACAAATGGCTTCTTGCCTTTCCTTTGTCAGACATAGCAAAGCTAATGTAAAATATTAAGCCAACCTAAAAGAACATTCCAACACCTGAGATAAATGTGAGGCAGGCCACTGGTGTCCTCTTGCAGTTTAAAACCCCTATGAGTTACAAATTCTCCCTAGTCTTCCACTTCCAATACATAAAAAAAGATGTATCACCAGGTGTCCAAATATAAACCATGCCCCTCCCTAACCCCAACTTCCCAATGTCTCATCTCCATTCACCTCAACCCTCTTCCTCTCATGTCTCACTCCAGCTCTACCTGCCCTTTCCACGGTGCCCTATGGAACTCCCATTACATAGTTCACAAAATTCCCTTCCTTCTGGACCTCTTCTGATCTGTCTCCCACCCCAGTGATAAAGCAACCCTAATCACCCTTTCTAGAAGTCTCATACCAACTCCCAGTATTGTTCTTAGGCAGGGTGACAGAATACTCCTTACTTCTCACCACTGGGGCCATCTCCAGTTGTCCTGATGTATATCTTGCCACTGGGCTGAGATGGCTCCAGAGAAAGTGAGAATGGTGACTTTGCACAGCCCTCCCTCATTTAAAGCCAATTTGCCTGAAAGTCATGGCATCACCTTCCTGATGTCATGGTCCTTTTTGAGAACAAAGGACAAGCAACAACCTGTGAGTAGTACCAGCTGCCCCACTGGGGAACCAATTGGCCAGTTCCAGTTGGTCAACACAGCTTTTTCCTCCTCAGCTCTTCTCTTCTCTCCTCCTTCCTCTCTCTCTGTCCACATAGAGTATAATACCCTTACCTGTAGGTGATCTGCCCAAAGGAACGTAAATTTTGAGCAGTGAAACCTCCCAAGACATCTTGAGGTTTATGCTAGATTTATTTCTTAAGGACCAGGTCTTAAACTCAAATGGGCTCTCATGGATTGGCCAACAATAGGTCCCAGCCCAAGCCTTACCTAGTTATTGTTTAGGTGCTGATGGCTCAGAGTGAATGTAAATGGCAACTGTTTCTGTTTTGGTCAGAAACCCTGAGGATCTTCCCCTCCCTTATTGATTTTTTTTTTTGACTAGGTAAAAGAGGCCATTCTCAGTCTCATTTTTTAACCTAGTCTTAATCACTAAATGGGCATTGCCTCAGTCAAACTGAGGCCTGGGAAAGACCTTAATTTGAAAAGGCCAAGGTCTCCCACTGCATTTGGGGCCATCTCCAGTCATCCTGATCTATATCTTGCCACTGGGCCCAGATGGCTCTGAAGGCGAAAGTGAGGCTGGTGACTTTCCACAGCCCTCCTTCACTTAAATACAATTCACCATGGCATCACCTTCCTAATGTCATGGTCCCCTTTAAGAACAAAGGACAAATAACAACTCTTCACTGCTACTTAGAAACCTTCTGATTCTTTGAGGTTCACTCCATTCAAATTTATCACCAATTTATCAATCACAATTAGAGTAGCAGTTATATATCAGCCCTCAAAGGAAAATATTCTTCCTCCTTCCTTAAGGAGATTAGCTCCTGGGCTCACTGTCTTCCTTTCCATTTCAACTCCTGCCCTTATTCTTTTTGTTTGTTTTTTGTTCAGTTGTGTCTGACTCTTCATGACCACATTTGGGGTTTTCTTGGCAAAGATACTGGAGTGGTTTGCCATTTCCTTCTCCAGCTCATTTTACACATGAGGAAACTGAGGCAAACCAGATTAAGTAACTTACCCAGGGTCACACAGCTATTAAGTGTCTGAGGACACATCTGAACTCAGTTCTTCCTGACTCCAGGTCTTACACTCTATCCACTGCTCCATCTAGTTGCTCTGCCCTTATTCTAAGGGGCTTCAATGTCTATGTTGATATCCCCTCAAACATTGCAACCTTCCAGTTTCTCAGTCTCTTCAACTCCTATGACTTATTCCTCCATCCCACTTCAGCTACACACAGGGAATGGTCATACCTTGATCTTGCTAGCATCCACAATTAATTTCCCTTCAAGATGCAAAAGCTAAAATCCTTTTACCTTATCATAAATTTACATTGCTCTCTATATACCTCAATCCTCCTAAGAGCATTCTTTGTCCTCAATAAGCCCTCTATTCTTCATTACTAGGCCACTATTCTACCATTACTTTCTTTGCAATCTCAATTCTATAGTTAACCGGTTCAACTTTATATCATCCTGTGCTCTTGAATCCCTTGTTCAAGTTCACATGCTGTTGAATAGACCTGGAGGAAATCATAAAATAGAACTGATTGGGTGCACTACACATTTATGTTATCCAGTCTCAACCAGGTACTGAACATATTAAGACAGTCCTTTTACTCATCTCTAATTGATGCTCTATGCCATTTTTCATAGAGCCTAATCTAAACCTTCTCTTTCCTTAAGCTTACCATGCTATTTCCTCCTCACTCTTTCTCAGCTAAGAAGTTTACCTCATACTGTACAAGAAAATAAAGACATTTGCCATAAACTCCCTCTTCTTCCCATTTCTCTACACCTCAAAATCCTTTAACATCTCATTCTCTCTTTTATTCCACTCTCTGAAGGGTTGACCATTTATTTAAGATCAACCCTTCTAATATGCCCTTGATCCCATCCCTCCTATAATATCCAGCAGATAGATAATCCCATCATCATTCCTTCTCCATACACACTGAATAAACTCTAGTGGCTCCCTATTACCTCCAGGATCAAATATAGAATCATTTGTTTAGCTTTAAAAGTCCTTCATAACCTGTAGTCCTCCCTACCTTTCCAGTCTTCTTACTTCTTATATTTAGGTGCTCTCAAATCCAGTGACTGGCCTTCTTGCTGTTTCTTAAACAAGACACTCCATCTCTTAACTCAAGGTATTTTTAATAGCTTTCCCTCATGCTTTGTGTGTCCTCCTTCCTCATTTCCACCTCTTGGCTTCCAGGGCTTCAAGTACCAGCTAAAATTGTACCTTCTATAGAAAGTATTTCCAGATCTTCCTTAATGTTAGTACCTTCCTTCTTATAATTATTTCAAGTTTATCCTGCATATATCTTGTTTGTACAGTTATTTAGAGCAGATAGATGGTGCAGTGGATAAAGTGCTGGGCCTTGCAGTCAGGAAGACTTCTTTTCCTGAGTTCAAATCAGACACTTACTAGCTGTGTGACCATGGCCAAGGCACTCAACCCTGTTTGCCTAAGTTTCCTAATCTGTAAAATGAGCTAGAGAAGGAAATGACAAACCATTCCAGTATGTTTGCCAAGAAAACCCCAAATGGAGTCATGAAGAGTCCGACATGACCGAAAAATGACTAAACAACAACACAGTTATTTGCATATTGTCTTCCCCATCAGACTGAGCTCCTTGAAACAAAGACTATTTTTTCACCTTTTTTTGTATCCCCAGTACTGAGCATAGTGTCTGGCCTTCAATAGGTGCTAAATAAAAGCTTATTGGCTGCTAAGAGTTCTAGTTTTACTCTGACAAAGCAATTATTTACTTTATTAGGAGAATACGCCTCTGAAATATGTGAAATGTATCATGGACTACATTTCCTTCAAATACATTTCCCTTCAGAAGGCCATCTGTTGGGCCCTATGCTGTTTACAAAAAACAAAACAAAACAAAAAAAATTAGTGTAATTAGTGATAGGGCAATAGAGGGACTTCCCTGATTATTCTCTAAGATAGGTGCAAATAGATATCACAGTAATTGATACAGACAAGTCAATTCAGTGCCCTCACAGTCACTTCTCTTTCACAAGCCCAACGTCAAACAGGGAAAAATAAGAGGGCAAAAGAGGACATTCCAGGAGGCTAAAGGTAGGTGTGTCAGTCATGCACATTTTGGACACACATTATTTAAAGTAATTCTACAAATTCTCTAATCATCTTGAAACATGCTGAGGTTCTCTGTTATATGTTGCCATGGAGAGAGAAAATCTACCACTACACAAGCTATATTTATTTAAAACAATAAATATTTTGAGCAATCTTGATTCATTTTGTCAGATGCATAAAAGAAGAAGGGAATGGTGAGGGAGTAAGTGAGAGATGGAAAATCAAAAAGACCTGACATTGGATGGCACTGATTTAAAGTGCTTATAAAAGTTCAAATGAGGAATTAGTTACTAGGAAGTAAGAAGGACTGAGGTTAGGAAAATAAAGTACCAAGGCAATTAGGAAACATGGATTTGTTGAGTGCTTGAGGGAATTAAAAAGCATCCCATGCAAAAAGAGTTAAATGATACTAATGATTTTTGCTGAGCATTCCAACTTTATTTAGTCCTTAGTTTCAAGATAAGAGTCAAGAGTGCTCCACAGGGCCACCCCACCTATCTGCCCATCTATTCTTATTTACAGTGAAAATAAGTTTCTGGGCTTGACCTGTATATGATATGATTTCACACACTATGATACACTGCGGTTATGGGGGCTGTTACCTGAGAAAGTTTCATCTGCATGTTAGCAAACACGTGAAGGAAGCCAACAACTGCATCCCACAATCTGCTATGAGCCAGGCTCTGCTGGTTTCCAATGCAAGGGCCCTATGGAAACAAGAACAACTATCACGTAAAAGTCAAGTCATACTCCAAATCCTAGTCTGCCTATAAAAATCTCAAAGTCTCCTGTTTAGTTTACCATTCTGTAATTTAAAAATCATTTTTCATAACTTAGACAATTTTCCTTAAGTATATCATGATATTTTCTGAACCAGAACTGTTTGTGTAAAAGAAACCACACAGGTAATCTAGCCTATTCTGTTTCCTTTGGATATGCTATATACCTACCTCTATACCTTTCCCCTAGATCGTTCCTGCTGCCTGGAATGCCCTCTTTCCTCATCCTGATCCTACCCTTCTTAATTAACTCAACTCAAGGTCTGCCTCCTCGATGACACCTTCACTGTCCATTTTAGTTCTCAGTGACCTCTCTCTTCTCTGAACTGAAACAAACAGGTGTTTGTTATTTATGACACTGATTCAGAACTTGATTATAGACTGCTTTGTAATACCTCTTGTCTTGTTACTATTAGTCATCTTTTCACACATCTCCTCTACTTGACTTGAAGGCAGGGATGTTATACTGATTTATATCTTTCACAAAGCCTAACAAAATTTCTATACACATGGTTTGTGTTCTGCAATTATTTGTTGAATGAGTGACACTTATGATAAGTCTTCTCTAAGACATCACCTGGTACTAATAATTAGGGGTTGAAGACTCAATTTTGTTTTAGGAAAAGTTCATTTGATATATAACACAGATGTATTAAAAACCTACTTAAAATAGTAATACCAGATTGAAGCTACTCTACCTTTATACATTTTGCTAGGCTTTTTCAGGAAATGTCAGGTTCTCTACATGGCATGATTCTCTGTGTAGGATCTAGGCACTAAACCCAAAATCTACCCTGTAAGTTTTAATGTTTTCTACATACAACTTATGTGCTTCAAAATAACTATCTAGAGCCCATCTTTTAATAATTCAAAAGGTCTTAAGCATTTTAGTTTTGATCTTATGATTTTAGGCAATAATCTTAAGATTTTTTTTTGTTTTGTTTTTGGCAAGGCAATTGAGGTTAAGTGACTTGCTAGTGAGTTTTATGTGTCTGAGACCGAATTTGAACTCAGGTCCTCCTGACTCCAGGGCTGGTGCTCTATCCACTGTGCCACTTAGCTGCCCCACAATCTTAAGATTTAAAGGGTGAATTATGAGGGAGTTATTTTTTCCTCAATGAGAACTAGAAGCCCAGAGCGGCTTGATGGCTTGCTCTAAGACACACAATGAGGGAGTAAAATGATCCAGATTACTTAGTGTTTTATTCTATACACCATAAAAATGTATATGCCCATCATTTATGCATGTGTGACATAGGAAGTGCAACATGTTTATAATCATGGGCTCAGTAATATGTTACCTGGATGTATTCTGTGAGGGAATTGAAAATCTGTTTGGTCACAGCTAAAGCTTTGGAGAAGTTTCGCTGTCCAGATTCATCAATGATGTCCTTCCCTGAATAGTACCAATAGAAGTCACTGATTGATTCCTACAAACAAACAAGATAAGTTAATTTTTTTTATCCCTTACAGCCAAACTAAGTGTAACATAATGGTGCAGGGGAGTTTCCTAACTTCCTATTTCTGTTCAGCCCTGGCACTACCTTGGGACCCCACAAAAAGATACAGAGACTCCAGATGGCTAACATCTCCCAAGCTTAAATGCCCCTCTCTAAGGAAGAGCAGAGGGCCTAGCTAGAGCTAAGTGGTTATAAGCAGCTCTTCTTAGAAACCATTTAGACAATAATGAAAAAATGCAAAGTGAAGATCAGAAAGGATTACTTTTTCATTTTCCCTAGGAAGTTTTATTGTTTGCTCCTTTTTTTATTTTTATGGGATTTTCCTTAGACATGGTAAACTCCATGACCTTCACTAAAATTCTTTACATTCATTTTATTCACAAAATTCCACTCACCTATCTGTCCTATACTAAAATTTTTTCCCCTTCACTATCCCTTAAACCTTCTCTGCCCCAGTTATTTTACAACTGCTGCTCATTAAATCTAGATTAATATGAGTGAAGAGAAATGAAGAATGGAAAAGAACTGGACATTTGTATGCATAATGGATAATACAGATTTTGACTTCCTCCTAAAGTATATGCTTAAGAAGTCTGAATCATCTGGAATATTGCCTCAGCCTCTCTATTCACTACATCTGTATAGCTAGAGACTGAATATTTCCTTTGTAATATATTTCTGACGAATGCTGTCCCATCTCTGGTACCTTGATGTTTCAGCCTCACCCTCAGCTTCTGGGGAAAATGGCTACAAACTCTAGAGTTCTGGCCAAGAATCTCCTTGCTTACCTGAAGACGTAGGAGGTAGTCAACAGTGCTGATGATGATATTCACAGTGGTGGTGTTGCCCATTTGAGTGCGAAGGAAGTTCTGAAAGTCTGAAAGAACCATCCCCGAGAATGAGTGCTGCCCCACTCTGGCTACTTTCCTCGCTGGGCTAAGTGGAAATACATTATCTATATAATCTTAAAGGCACTGACATTTATTTTTAAAAGACATTGAAGAGCTCACAAGCTAATCTGTCCTTACCCTGAAGACAGTTCTTTTCATTAAGAAAGGACGAATAAAAATAAAGGGCACTAAGGAGAGATAGTTGTTTGGATTACATAGTTTGAATTCTGGAAACAACTTCCTACCCTGACAGGTGTTGAATCAATTCCCTTTAGCTATGGATCACTTAAACTTGCTTTCCCTTTATAGGATTCCTCACTGAGAGGCAGATCCACATGAGTTCTTATGTTCATAATAGGAAGTTTTAAATAAAGTATACTGTGCTAGGTTTTTCTCTGTGCTCTGTTTTTCCCATGAGGATTTAATTTACTGACTTACCACTGTTATGACCTTCACAAAGCAGCTGCAGGAATCTGAAGAGATCACAGGTAAACTCATGATTCTGGAGTACCTTTTCACCTTGAAAATACATGAGATCATCTGTGAGCACTGTTTGGCAGTCAATGAAGAGGATCTTTCAATGCAAATAGTTATAAGAAAAAATTGGGACCTACATAAAATGTTATTCCCTAATGTTCTGATATTTGGGTAAATCCAATTAAATTAAAATGAAGATGGGACCACAGAACAAAAACACCCCAGAAAATTCAAAATATTTAGTAACATGATGCATGTTTTATAATAAAAACAACTAAGGTAGTGGTAGCAAATGTCTCACTGTCTATAACCCATGTCTCATAGATGGAATATGTTTATTAAATTGCTGAGCAAACCTTCCCAGCCACCCACTGTGACTAAATTGAATCTGGAAAGATGTAATTAAAAATGATCTCTTTCAGCATTCACAACATATGGTAACTACTCAAGCCAAAAACTCAAACTTACCACGCTCCCGAACGATGACTGGGGATGAGAAAAAACAAAAAGAATACAAGATAAGAAAACCAAAAGCAACATAATCATTATGGTGAAACTCCCTATAGTAAAAACAGAAGTCTGTCCCAGGTGCACACTTTAACAAGATTACCTATAGAAATATTATCTTGAAACAGATTTGGCCTTTTCTTGTTAAAACAAATAAATGGTAAGAGGGAGCTTTAATCAGAAGGGATTAAGGTTTGAATCCTTTGAATTGAATAGGTGGTTTTCATTATTACATACGTGTTCCTTCTTCAGTAACCATTCCCAGGCCTTCAGCTTTGTTCTGCCTCTCAAATGCATTCAGATCAAGGACACTTTAAAGAGAGAGAGAAAAAAAAATGGTGAGTAAGAACAGTGTTGAGGAAAGGCATTTCTATATACTATATATCTATCAACTAAGCATATCCTGTCATAGGATTATATTCTCATAGGGTAAGAGTTGGAAGACCCTTAGAAGTTATCTAGACCAAGCCATTCCTTTTATAGATGAGGAAATCTTGGTCTGAGAAATGTGCCCAAGATCACCAGTGAAGCTATTAATGAATGTGGATCCTCTGACTCTAACTTCAGCATTTTCTACTGTCCCATGCTGTTCTTCACTATATACAAACAGTTTAACGAGCTAAACTGTGATTCAGAGATACTGAGTTGGAATCTCAGTGTTGTGCCTAAGGATATTGTCTCATGACACATTTGGATCATTACAAGCTAGTTCTCTGTGTGGACAGTTTTGTCTAATTTTGTATCTCCCTAGCATTAATAACATGTAGTGTACTTAAAAGACAATTGCTGAAATTTCTGTTTGAAGAAAACACAGTTCCATAAGTTAATTCTTATTCTAGTTTGTATTCACTTTATTTCTGATGGATGAAGGTTTTAAAAAATTACTCTTTGATAACTATCACATTCTGTATTTTGTGAAATATTTAGATTGAATACTAGTAGAGACAATAAAAAATTGTAGAATGGGCACAATCTTAACTCTGAGAAATACTGGAAGCTCCAGCATTCTAAGTGATGGGGCTTTAACAGAATGACCCTCTGCTTATGTTGGTGGATTTACTTGGGGCACTAAAGTAGGCAAGAAATACATTTTGACTGTGGTTGATTTTTGCCACTAAATAGAGAAACTCTATGTAATAGAGTTAGAGGTTATCTCATCTCAAATTCTAGGAAAAACCAAATAGAACTGGCACAGGTAGGGATGCTACAGACAGCTGAGTAGGATGATTACTTTCTCTCTGAGTTTTCCTCTCACAAGGACACATTTGCCATATGCTTTTACAATTACTGAACTCTTCAGGTAGGAATTCTTCAAAATGTCAACAGACTGTGGAATGAGTTATACTGCTATGACCACATCTTGACCACACACTGCTGAGACTGTGCTAAGACAGAATCATCTGCTTTACTTCCTTCTTCTCCTGCTGATTCTCCAGTTCCAGCACTTGTTATCACTTATCCTTACTTTCACAATGACATCTAGTATAGGCATCTCTTATGTGAGGCCAAGAGAATTTTCTGGCAATAATTTCAACTTAGTCTCACTTAATAATTCAAATTTATTTTCAAGTCTGACTGGTCTCCTTACTAAGCACACAGATTTTTAAGAGATATGGTTTGTAGCAGAGGCCATATTGACCACACTTTGTATACAACTCATCTTTCTTTTTTCCACTGGGTGAATAAAACTGCTGTCATGGGCTTCCTCAATAATACAAAAGCTATCATCTGTTTCACTTTCAGGGGTAGATGATGTCAATATTTATACAACTTTGAAAAAACAGCACTAGCCCACATTGTAGCTGTGCAAAGTCCAGTGGAAAGCTAGCCAGGCATCTTAATGGGAAGTTTAATCTAATTTTCTGACTTTTCCACTCACTTTAGATTTGGCTTTCATTGAAATCTGTCTAGTGTTTCTGCACATGCTCCCTTGATCTCTGAAGGGAAGATTTAAAAAAAAAGAGATGAAGCCTAGAGGATGGGGAAATGTGGTTAAGCCTAATGAAGACAAATATGGAAATTAAATGATGTTTGAAAAGTGATCAGAAGGCTATGGGAATCACCTTTAAAACTTCTCCAAAATGTTCTAAAATATATATTCCTCTTTCACAACAATCTCCTAATAATTTGCCCCTTCTGTGGTCTTGATTACTTGAGTAGACTGGAGTTAGGGGAAATGTCATAATTATACTTCCTACATTTACCTGCAAGATTGCATAAGGCCAGAGAGGCTTTGAAAGAATCCAGCATCCTTTTTCTCCTTCAGGTAGTCCAGCATTTTCTGCATGGGAGATACATTTCAAAGAGAAAAGCAATGAATATTTTTATATCATGTATTATTGGCTGTCTCAGATTTTTTTTTTTGAAGAAATGACAAACTCTCAGCCACACAGGTGGAGAGTATTTTACTCTGGAAGAATATTTCTTGTTTATATAGCACCTTGAATAGTAAGATCTTACCTTGTTCTGTAGTCAATGAAGGGATCCATTCACCAAAAGAACATTTAAGTGCAATATTCCTTACCCAAATGTTGATAAAATAAATATTCTGTTCCTTTAGTAGCAAGAGAAACACAGGCATTGACTAAACCTAATATATGGGACTCCCAGCCCTGTTACTTATCCAGTATTAACCACAGGTATTCTGATGTGATCAAAAAGTTTAGTGGTCATCAGTGATGAGAATAGATACTAATGATTTCTCCTGCCTATATACTCCTCTTGGTAACAACCTAAAAAGTCTCTCATTCCCTAAAGACCAGAGTTTGGGAATATTCCTGAACTGCTACCAGGATGTGTAGCACCATTACCTGCTGCACTCCAGGGTTGCCCCCATTCAGAATAGCAATGCCAAGCTTCAGAGTCTCCACCACCATGGGTCCCATCTCACCTGTCATACCAAAAATAGAAGACAGAATCATTACATCTCGATTCAAGGAATTGATTAACCATCAGGAAAACAGTGCATGAACTTTGCCTAATGTGTCTCTTAATGAGTATTTAATTATCATTTATTACAAAATCAGCACCAAACTTTAGACAGTTTCCAGTCATAAATTTCACATAGTATTTATATAATTGTGTCCAAGTTTAACAAAATACTGACTCATCACACAACATTACCTTTACTAGCACTAATCATCTGGAGGACCATCTCTGCAGCACCACGGTCATGCAAGCGAGCTTGCTGATAAAGGGTTTTCTGTTTCTCCATTTCTTTTTCCTGAACAAGAAATAGTATAGGAAAATCTTACTAGCCAAAAAATTAACAGGTGTGTGTGTGTGTGTGTGTGTGTGTGTGTGAGTGAGTGTGAGAGAGAGAGAGAGAGAGAGAGAAAGCGAAAGAGAATGAATGAGTGAGAATACATATAAGCTCATAGGAGAAGGTGATGAAGACATATATAATAATCACAACAACAACCAAAAAAACTTTGGAATTAATTTCCTGATCTCTTTCCCTTGCTTCAAATCTGTTTACCTTTATTCCATTCATACTGGGAAGGCCAAATTCTACTCTGTGAACCTATGATTAGAATATTTTCCTCCCACTTTGATTCCTACAAAAGGAAAATTTAGCCCACAGAGTGTTTTCTAATACTCCTTCATGCTTGGGGGCATGAAGTGGGCTTGCTCTAGAGAAGTATGAGCCACTCTGATTGCCTATATATTTGGAGAAACTCTTTCATCCAGAATGCCTTGGGGATGGGTATTCTGGTTAGTAAAAGAGCTATCATATAACATATACAGATAATTAATTTTCAGAAATCAAAGGAACACATATTGAGAGTTGGAAAGGGTCTTAGAGGTCATCTTGTCCAACCTTTTCCTTTTACAGATTAAAAAAAAAAACTGAGAACAAAGGAGATTACATGGCTTGTTGATGGTCCCACAGGTCAGATGAACTGCAGAGAAGGGATCTGAATTTAGACCTCTGACTCCAAATCCAGTGATCTTTTGATTGTACCATGAAGAATAATAAATAACAGGTGAAAGAGAAAAAATGATGATAATGGATTAATGTGTTCAATTCAGCCATATTCTTGTACTGATTTGTGTGTGTGTGTTTGAGAGAGAGACAGACAGAGAGAGACAGAGACAGAGAAAGTCAGACCAAGATAGAGAGAGAAAGAGATAGGAGGAGAGAGTGCTTTGATAAATGGATTCCTTAAAGCTTCAGGAGACAAGAGAAAATGATCCATGAAAAAACAAAACAAAACCAAACCCAACCCTGCTGTCCTATAGAGGGACTATTCCAAAATAGCATAGGCAACCCAAAGTACAGTTAGTTTTTACAGTTTTCTGTCCCTATCTGCTGTTGAATATCTCTAGATCTCAGGGGTACAGGACACTTTGTAGATGGTGTTTGTAGAATGTGTAGCAAGGATGCTATATTCCAACCCTCTCTTCATCCCAGGCAGCCATCAGAGTAGTCACTTTCCTGGGTTCCTGGTATGCTGGCTTGCAAGGGGGTTCCCAGTGTTCAAATTCTGAAGAAGACTCACTTCAAATGTCTTTTCCTTTTCTTCTTCCTCTTCTTCTTCACCATTCTGACAACTCTACATTACATTGAATAGAGATTGTGTGGGGAGGGGGGAAGAGAAAATAATCAAATTAAAAGGCAATCTGGTGAAAATACTAATTATCTGTGCTATTGTCTGGGAGCAGGGAACAGAAGATCATTCACAGGAACTTCATGATTTCTAGTCTTTTTGAAAGAAAATCTTTGACTAAAAGAAAAATCACACTCTAAATCCCATGTCTGCAGGTATATTAAGTAATTCATAAAAAGGAATGGGAGTTATTGTCAGAGCAATGAAATCAAAGAATCAATGGAAGAAGTTGTCTAATACTTCCAAGCAACCTTTTTTTCCCCCACGTCCCTAAAAAGCAGGGCTGGTTCTTTACTTGTTTTGCATCATAGACCCCCTTCAAAGTCTGGTAAAACCTATGGACCACTTCTGGGAATAATGTTCTTTTTTAATTTGTAAATTTTTTTTTATTTTAAACTTAAATACAAAATAAGAAAAAAGAAAAAGACTTAAATACTAAAACTAAAATAATACAAAATAAGGAAAGAAAAAAAATTGCCATGTGTAGAGCAGAGTATGAGAGGATGCATGTATTAATTAATAAATTAATTAATCTTAAATGCATAAAATAAAATACATGGATTACAAAAAAAAATCAATGATATTTAAGTAGTTATAAAAATACATAAAAAACCCCAACAAGTTCATGGATCCCAGGTTAAGAATTCCTGCTACAAAGTCATGGTGAGACAAACGAAAGGAAATAGGAAGTAATTCTATCACTTGGATATTAGTTTAGAAGCTTTGGCAGCAGCAGTGGGGGCGCTCAGAGGCAGTTAGAGTCAGTAGTACAACAATGTGAGAGATGAGGAGCTCTGTCCCATTTTGATACTGTGTATAGCTTGGTAGAAGAGTAATTGCACCAACACTCCTATTATAATTGCTGTGTGTGCCTTTTCCCATCCAACCCAGAAGACTTTTCTATTTACAAAAGAATTGTCACTGGTTCAATTAGAAATTTAGAGCCTTACAATTATTTTGCTTTCACCACTATGGAAACCCTAGTTATCTGACCTCTTTCATAACTCAGTATTCTCTCCTTTGTTTCCAAGAATGTACTAAAAACTGTTCCACATATTGATATATGAGAATTTTTGCCTTATGGGCTCTGAACCTTGACTATTGAACACTATTAGTCTATACTCTGGGAATCTTTTTTTTTTTTTTGGAATCTTATTGAGGTTTTAAAACAAAAGTAATAAAAATACTTTGTATTGAGTCATCAGCAAAACTCCAAAGCTGTTTGAAGCAGAATCTTGCAATTCTTAGAATAAGCCCCTTAGGAAAGCAGGAATGACTGATTAAAATTACGATTCTTGTTAGTATAGGAACAAATGAGAACAAAAACTTCAGCTTAGGGAACCACTCCAAAATTTGGGACTAGAATCCCAGGCTCTTGATTCCTTGACAAACAATTCCCTGAAAAAAGATACCTACCTGGAGAGAGAGTACAACAAAGTCCTGTTCTTGGTCCTCTTCTCTTAAACAGTTTTATCTGTGACTTGAAGGCACTGATAGCATATTTATTAAATTTGAGGGTAAACAAAGCTGAGAGGGAAAGCTAACACTGGCACATATGAGTTCCCCAAAGATCTTGACAAGCTATTTCTAAATGTGGGCTAAATCTAATAAAGTGAGATTTAATAGGAACAACTGTAAATATCTGCTCTTGAGTTCAAAAAATCAAGTAATGAGAGATATGATCAGCAAATGTTAATGTGAAAAAGACCTGGGGTTTTAATGAACTGCAAAGTCAGTGAGCCAAGAGTGTGATATGTTACTTTTCTCCCCCACCCCAATCTGATGTGATCTTTGGCTGCATTTGATAGATGAAGCGTCAGATATCCAGCCAAGATGGCTGCCTGAATGGAAGTAGGAAGCCCAGTTTCCACACCTATTCCTATAAAAACCTAACAATAGTACAAACTAAATAAAGATTTAAAAATCCAATAAGAAACTACAGTAAGTAATTTCATTGACCCTAGAACTGCACAAAAAGTTAGCCAGATACTCATGAACAAAAAGAAAGGAAACTGCCAGAAAAGCTAACACCAGTGCAAACAAATAAGACAGAAGTCTCCCAGTGTGACAAGAGATCAGCCAGAGACACCTACCCAGGACCTTTAATGAAATAGAGTCAAGAGAAATCTAGAAAAGTAAATTTATTTAAGCAACTGGAAGGAATTGCACATTGATGATGCATTAACATTCTAATAGGAAGAGAAAAAATAAGTGTCTCTCCAGAACCTTAGTGTTTTCAAAGGGCACTGAAAGAGTTAAACATGTAAGAAAAAGAAAACAAAACAGAGGTCCTAGAGGTAGTGGGGGTGGTAAGGGTCGTAATTATTTCAATTCTGAAGATTTGAAGAGGAGAAATAGAAGGGAAGATAAAAGGAACACACTAGCATAAAAAGGAAGAAGGGAGCAGAGCTTGTTATATCTCCCAATTGAGGGGCAGGAAAAGAAGACTGAACAAACATGGAGGAAAGGATTGGAGGAGTTGGCATTAGATGAACCCCACTCTTGATAGACAAAGGAGGGTTGAACACACACACACACACACACACACACACACACACACACACACACACATACATACACACACCCCAAAAGCGTTTGATGTAAAAATATATCAAACTCTGGAACATTACTGTGCTATAAGAAATGATGAGCAAGATAATTTAAAAAAAAACCTGGACTTATATGAACTGATGCATAGTGAAGTGAGCAGAACCAGGAGAATGTTGTATACAATAATAGCAATACTGTACAATGAAGATCTATGAATGACTTAACTATTTTCAGCAACACAATGATCCAAGACAATCCCAAAGAACTCATGATGAAAAATGCTATCTGCCTCCAAAGAAAGAATTGGTATTGGCCGAATACAGACTGAAGGATACAATTTTTCTTTTCTTTTCTCTTCTCTTCTTTTCTTTCATCTTCTTGTACAAAATGACTAATATGGAAATGTTTTACATGACTGCACATGTATAACCTATATCAGATTGTTTACTGTTTCAGGGAGGGGAAAGGGAGGAGGGATAGAATTTGGAACTCAAAACTTAAAAAAACCCAACTATTAAAATTGTTTTAAAATGTAATTGAGAGAAAAATAACATATTATTAAAAATACATCAAACTCAACAGAAAAAGGTGGTATAGAGAAAGGAAGATGGCAGAGGGAAAAATAATACACTAATCCCAGAGAGAGAATAGCTGCAAACAAAACAAACTTCATGATCCTGATGGAGACAGTAAAAGGGGTGAAAAGGAGAAGCAATAGTGATTAAAGATGAAAAGAAAAAAAAAGTCATTGAAATTTTTTTAAATGCACAAAAAAAGAACAGAACAAGTTCAGAAGGGAGCACAGACTAGCAGAATAGTTGAATGTAACATGTTGAATTTATCATATAATTTTTAAAAAGCAAGTGCCATGAGAGATTCACAGTTTCATATACAATGCTCTTTATATATGGAAATGCTCATTTTTGGGAGGTGTTTACCAAACTCAAAATTTTAAAAAATGAATAAGTGTCCAGAATGAGGGAGGTTATTGCTCCATTGTACTCTGCCATGGTCACAGCCAATCTGAAATACTCTGTACAGTTCTGGGAATCACATTTGAGAAAGGACATTGATAGATGGAATGTACCTAGCCATGGTGACAATGACAGTGAAAGGATCTGAAACAATATCATAGCAGCACCTCTAAGTGAAGCTAGGGATATTTAGCCTGCAGAAGATCTGGCAGAGGGGTGTATCTTTAGAGATAGTGATAGATCTTTATTCAAGAATTTGTATGAGGAAGACAAATTAAGCCTGCTTTAGTTGGATCCATAGGGCTAACTAGGAGCAATGGGTGGGAGCTGCAAGAGGAAAATTTTTTATTGATATCAGGAAAAAATTGCATAAAAATTTTGAGTTATCCAGAAAGTATAATGGGCTTCCTGAGAAAGAAGTAATACCACTTTTCTTAGGATCTTCAAATGGTGACTAAATGACCACTTGGGTGGGAATGTTGTAGATGGAATTCCTGAAACAGATGACTGATGAAGTCCATTTCAATACTGAGATTCTGTGAAAAAAACCCAAGTACACTAATCCCAAAAGAAAATGTGAGGAACTGAGGGCTTGAAATGAGGAAACTTAGACCTACCTTGGCCATCATGCCTGAATAGGCGGTATAAAGAGGGTCATTCTCCAAATGGCTAGAAAGAAGGGAGACAAAAACCAATAGATAAGACTAACACCTTGGACATGTTAGCACTAGACTACTTCTCGTCTATCATTTGTCATCAGTCAACCCTATGGAATAATTAGCTCATATGCATTACCAAATTACTAAGAAATGCTCTTATGAACTATAGAAACCATCTAGGTGAAACACAGGGAAGCTTAAGGTCCAGGGATGACCTGGGGATGATGCAGTGATAATGGTCTACAGATTCGATATAATTTTCAAAATCAGTTTGTCCCTGTGCAGGCACTCAGTCAGGAAGGTCCTTATCAGCATGGAGAGGGAAGGGACAATAGTCTAATATAGGCCTCCAAGACCTTTTCTTCAAGATGAAAGGGCAGCAGGAAGGGATACTGTGAGTGGAATGCTTCCTTTATCCCCACCACCATTTGTAAGAAGTAAGGCCTAGGATGCTCTGGCTCACGTGACTGATGTTCCAGATCCAAAGAGAAGGTGATAGTTATGGAATTGGGAAGAGAGGTATGGAAAATATGGGGCAGTACTGACCTTTTCTCTGTGACAGCATTGCGACTAAAATGGAGAATGATCTGATGAAGTGGGTCTGGCTGCTTTTCAGCTTGTTCCTCTTCTTCCTCCTCTACCTTTGGAGGTTTCTAATCAACACAGTCAGGATTTAGAGGAATATGTTAGCACGAGGCCATACTTCCCTCCCCTCCCCATCACATGCATTTGGAAAGACAGAGAAGCACAAGACATAAAGCAAATTATACTGAAAGCATAAAAAAACCCGTTATAACATTTATTTCTTTCAAACTGGAATATCTTGGGATGCAAGATTGGGGAAATATTTTAAAACTCTCAACATAAATGTTTTAATTTTTAAGTTAAAAAGAAATTAATTATAAAGAAAAGCAGAGAAGAGAAAAGAAAGCTCAACAAAGGCAAAATGCTACAGACCCTATTTAGCAGAAACCCCTTGCAGGTTTTGGCACCAGACTCCAAGATGGGCCCCATTGGAATTCAGCTGAGGGACAGAACCCCACTGGCCAATGTCAGAGGATAATTCCCTTGGAGAGCTAGGCTAGGGATTAGGTGGGGAAGTGATAAACCAAATGAGCCATTTGGATGCAAAATACTGAGCCTGGTTCAGCCCAACAAAAATTTGTATTTTCTACTTCTTCTTTCATTCAGACACCTGATGTTCTTCTGGGATGCCACCTTGGAACTGTAAACCTGGTAGTTTATCCTCAAACTCAAACCAGGCTTCTATTTCCTTTTTGAAAGGGGATACAGGAGCTGTTACCTAACAGAAAGTGATTTTATATTAGGTCCCAGAAGAAATCAGTGAAAGCACCAGCAGAAGGGACACTAATCAGTGAATGAGTGTTTTATTGAGCATGTATTATCTATGTGCTATCATGAGTAGTTCAGAAAAAAAGCGAAGGATTGCCAAGTTTTTGGTTAATTTCAAGTTTCACACTAAAGAAGATATGTGGACAAGTTAAACAACTACCTTTTTCAGAGGGCAGGAAGTAGAAAAGGAGAGAAGAGAGAAAGAAGAGGAGAAGAGAAAATGGGAAAAAAGAAGACAGATGAAGAAAAAAAAGAATGGTGAGAAAGACTGAGAAAGTGAGAAACAGAAAAAGACAAAGAGCCCAAGGGATAGAATAGGAAAAACAGAGAAAAAAAGACCAAAGGAAAGAAAGACATACAAACATACTCTCTTCTCCTCCCTTCCCACCAACACACACACACACACACACACACACACACACACACACACACACAAGTATGAGTGTGGGAAGAGAGAGGATGATGACATAGAGACTTAATAAAAGGAGAGCTTTTTTTCTGAAACAGTATAAGATTCTGGGTCTGGCAAAGAGGTTTATTTTACGGGATGATCATAAATGGCATCAGAGCAGTCTTTTAGGACGAGGACGTGTCAAACATTTCCTCCAAAAGCTCAGTCATGAACGTGAGAATGGGTTTAAGTGTTTTGGTAAGGCAATCTAGAGCAACATTTATAACAGAAGGTTGAGGATTATCTGGGAAGAGGTTGATGTCTTATTGCCAAAGGTGTTCAAAGTTTCTTGATTTAGTATGAAATTCCCATGATACACTGATAACAGGGTTATTATGTTCCTATTACATTGCTAATATACCATCTGTGCACTTGACAAATATTATTCAAGTTCTATAATGCACGCACATAGATACAAAAATTATATTCACTCACATTGATATCTGCTCCTAGTTTAGTCAATACTTACAGCCAAATCCTGTACTAGTTTTTCTTCAAAGGAATACTCCTCTGTTTCTATCCAAAATCTCTGATAACCATGGAGGAAGAGGTTAATAGAGCGGTGCCTGAGCGAAGGGGTGAAAGTGAGATCGAGAGGGATAAATGGAACACTATATTATAGCTTTGGCGGTTAATGATTAGTAAGCAGGCTGTGTTTTGTACAATTCTGATCTTCTGATTGGTCAGGGGGAGCAACAGTAAATTTATATACTAATCTAGCAGAGCCAAGCTTCCTCAAAGTTCCCAGTCTTCTTTTTCCAATCTCTTGATTTATAGCAACTTCTAAGGATGATAGTTAATCTAATTAAGTATTTACTTGCCACTACTTTATCCCTATTCCTCATCTCTTCCAGTGCCCAGCATGATGCCTCTGTCATGGAGCACATCTCATAATGAGTGGCCATGTGGCATATCTGAGACTTTTGTCTAGTATGACAAATGGATTCAAGTACAGCCTGGTTATGCCTTTTTGACTGACACATCTTGAGAACCCATTTTAAATTATTCTTATGGCATGTGGTTGATATGGAGAAAGGCCAGAAAAGTTGTTTCATCATTTTTTCCCCAGCCATTCCCAGTGGACATGATGTTTTCAAATGGGTCTTTTTATACCTCAGTGTCTCAAAAAATAAAACTTAGATAAGGTTTTTGAGGTTCCATAAAAGAAAGTATGTTTTTTAGCCTATCTTTTGAATACTTCATGAATTCCTTTTATGACCACATGGAAAAAAATGGGGTTCCTTTATGACATTAAATCACAAGTCTTCTAGAATAAGAACATCAACTAGCTATCCAATGGCTGCTACTTCTGAGATTCCTTGAGAGAATATGAGCCATTAAAAAGCATCATGTGAGAAAGACGATGGAAGTGGGTTGGGGAACAAAGAAGAGGAAAGAGTAGAAAGGGGAAAAACAACATTGATATTTAATTTGTGTTTTCCAGTTGGTCCAGTCTCTAACACCTTGTTTTTTAGACTGACCAATCAGAATTTTTCCATAAATTGTACAAATTTGTGTTTCATGATAACATGAAATCATGGTCAGGAAAGGAAGAGTATGCACAAAATTGGGCAGATCTCTCCACAGGTTACATTACCGTTAACATGAGTATAAGCCTGTCATACTGAGTTTTTTCATAAACATTTTCCAGCCAAACCCGTTGGAAGGTGCTCAGGAAGAAATTATTAATTTTGTGTCTGGGGAAAAGCATATAAGGTTTTCACTTGAGAACTAAAATCAGAGAAACAATTCCAAACAACAAAGTCTGAAGAGTCTTTTACTTTTGAAGATGCTCAAAAGCTTAACAGTGAGAAAATTAGTAAGGGGGTATTTTCCCTAATGCTAACTAATTGGATCATTCTTTGCTGCCAGGACAGACATCCATCTTACAAATATTCCATCCCCATATATGTGGTTAAATAACTAGGGGAAAAAAGACAATTAAGGGGCAAGTGTTCCATCCAATCATTGGCATCATATTCAAGTATTATAGGTACATGAGATTAATATATGGTTAACAAAATGTTAATACTATACCAACAATTTAGGTGAATTGAAGGAAATTAATATCTTTGGAGAGATTATGTGAATTTTTTCTGGTTGATTCAATCTATGAAAAATGTATCTTAAGATCATTTTTGATGCCATGAGAAAAACTTTGGGATCATGCCAATTGGGGCCCCCAAGAGGCCATTAGTAAGGCATATGGATCTCAAAGCTAGAGGTAAATTAATGTCTTCTGATATATCACCATTTCTAAGAAAAAGAAGTGTTATCACTTTTGCTTTTCATGTTTGGCTAAGAGTCCTTAATATGTAAATTGGTTGTCCTATGTCCAATCTTAGTCAGGAATGCTGCTTAGCTTTATAGGTTTATTCATCTCCAGAGATCCAAGCTGCTCTCCTTGGGAGTTCTAAAAAAGTAAAAATGATTCGCAGAGGCCATAATTCTTGGGCACTGTTCAATGCACACATCTACTAAGCCAAATGAAATCTCAATTCTTCAAGCAGTTTATTCTCTCCAAAAGAATTTGTGACCAGTGTTACAGTGCACTGAAGAAAGATAATGGCTGTGGATTCTTTTGAGAATCATAGTTTGACAAAAGCAAAATTCAAAGCAAAGAAATTATTCTTTATAATCTAGAAATATAATTAATTGGCTATTATTATTAGTGTTTCCCCAGATAAGAAATCTAGTAAGGTCAATATTTAGTTAATAGTTTCATTTTAATCAGAACCTAGGTCTTCATCATATAATCAATCAGAAGATGGAGTGCTTAGCTCCATTGGCAAAGATATTAAATTAGTCTCAGCAATTAATTGAGAATGGTCCAGTTCAGCCCCTCATTATTTCCTTTTTTAACAAAACCCAGCTAAACACATTCCAGAAAACTTTGCACTCTTGCCTGTGCATTGCTGAGGGGACAGCAGGATAAAATGCCTAGGAATAACACTGTTCTCCATACTGGCCCCTCAAGATACGTTTCAGACATTAGATGTTGAAATTAGCTGCATGTGTTGCACCAAACTAAGAACTATATAGACATAGCACTAAAAGCTTTCTCCACGTTTACTCAGTATCTGTGAAGGAAACACTGTAGCTGAAATACTATAGAGGCACCATTCCCATTATGCCTAGGCAGAAGAAAGTGATGTGACCTGATTGGGAAATGAAGGGTAAAGCACCTTGGAAAATAGCCTCCTTCTCTGCCCACAAAGAAACCCTCTCTTCTCCTCAAGACTTGCACTTAAGCAGAGAGGGAAGTCTATCTATTCTTTACTAGAAGGATTTTGTGGAAAGAGCCAAGGGAGCTAAGGGAAGATTGAGGAATATGATAATTTTTATATTATTTTGATTATATGAACCTAGGTAAAAATGACAGGAAATCTTTATGTGGGTAGACTACAATCATTTTATAGGTCATGTACTCCTATTGCTATTAGCTAGCTCTTTCTATAAGGACAAGGAAGAGATTTCGGATGTGGGAGAGGACTCAAATTCTTATTACTCACACATGTGGCAGAAAAAAACCAAAGCAAAAAACCAAGGCACGTACCTGGGGAGATTATACAAGGGAGCCATCCTGAAGCAGGCTACCACTGCCCGTTTACGTTGCTTGGATAAGAGTTTGTGCCAGACAGCTTTCTTGGATCTAAGTGGTTGCTCCACCTATGGATAAATTATCTTCAGTGGGTTCATGTCAGCTAGAAAGTATAGTGAATAGAATACTGGACTGGCAATTAAGTGATGTACATTCTTGTTTATGATCTGCTACTACTAGCTATGGGATCTTGGGCAAATCGTGTAATTTCTCTGGGCTGCAGTGCCTTGATCTATAAAGTGAATAGCTGAACTAAACAATCTCTAAGGTCCTTCTAGTTCCTATACTCTAAGATTTCTTTTAAAATGAAACATTTAAAATTGAGACTTTCAAACTTTTAAGAATTTTGGCTTGTCAGCTATGGTCAACAAAATATCCAGATGTTTATCATCACACTTTTGAAATCCTACCCATTCTTCAAAACTCAGACAAAATTCTCCCTCTTTTACAAAATTTTTCTTGATTCTTCCCAGTTGAAAATCATTTCTGCTTCCTTTGACTTTTTATATAGCCTTTTACTAATGCTCTTATTGTATTATATTCTAAATTACTTTATAGTTGTGTTTTTCTGATATTATGAGGCATATCTATGAACAAGTTGTATTCCCTTTGTTAGCTTTTAATCTCAGTAAACACAGGGCCAAAATAGTCCTTTTGCACATAGGAGCTTAAAATGTTGTCCAATAAAATGTATTATCCAGGTTCTTGGCTTCTTCTCTTTCTGATGGCTTAGTGTCCTGGATGGTACAGGCCCTTATCAGCCAGTACTTCTCTAGTATTTTGGCTAGCAAATTTGTATCTCCTCCTCTTCTAATCCTCTTCTAATTTTAATGATCCAAAATTTTCATTCCTAGAGGTGAAGAGCTCGTTTCTCCTGCTTCCTCTCTCTATACTTTCATCCCATTCAGTTCAACCTTACCACTTCCCAATCCCTTTCCTAGTTACCTTTACTCTAGAATGTCTTTATCTCCCCTCTCTTACTTAGTACCTCTCTCTGAAGAAGACTCTGTCCTTTGTCTTTCCAAAGTCAACTTTTCTGCTTGTGCCTTCAACTCCTCCTGTCTAGGAGCTTGCCCCATCGGTCAACTTTCTCTTTCATCTTCAGTCTTTGCCTATCTACTGTTTCCTTCCTTGTCCCTTACAAGTATTTTCAGATCTACTCATGCTTTAAAAAAACAAAAAACCTTCATTTGACCCTGCCATTCTCTCAAGTCACTTCCCTGAATCTCTCCTCCTTTTCATTACCAAATTCTCATAAGAAGTAGCCCACACTTTCTGTTTCCCCTTCCTTACCACCCACTTATTTCCTCCACTCTGGCTTCTAACACCACCGCTTTACTGATCCTGCTTTCTCTAAGATTGCCAATGATTTCAAAGGTTAAATTTGATTTAGCCTTTTCTTATTAATCCTCCTGCATCTTTTGAGATTGCTAACAAACCCCTCCACCTGGGCAATTTCTCATTCTTTGGTTTCTGTGAATAACACTAATCTTTCCTGATTATCCTCTTGCTTGCCTGGCTGTTTCTTCCCAGTATTTGATGTTATATCATTATCCATCTCCTACCCTCTTATGATGGGTGTCATAAGAAAGAGGGCTTCAGAAAGCCCTCTTTATCCTCTTTCCTCTTGATTTCATTTGCATTCTTAGGTTCAAATATTATCTCTACACTGATGACTCCCAAACTGATTAAGCTCTAATCTTGTTCTACTGAACTTAATATATCTTCCTGGATGTACCACAGCCACCTCAAAGTCAGTATGTCCAAAATGGAAATCATCATCTTCCATCCTAAATCTACCTCAACTCCAAACAGAAATATAGTACAACCATTTTCTTAATCATTCAGCTTCATAATTTCAAAGTCAACCTTATGTCTTCTCTCTTGCCCCATTAACCCCATATCCAATCTATTGCCTGGTCCTGTCAATACCATATCCAAAATATCTCTTACATCCATTCCCTTCTCTCCATTCACACAGTCATCACCCTGTTTCAAGTCCTCATCCCATTGGACATCTCAATGGCCATAAAGCAGGAGGAGGACTGGAAGGAGCACTAAATTCTAAGTTGAGAGAACTAGGATGAAATCTTGGCTCTGCTACTTACTATCTTCATCACTTAACCTCTGCAGGCCTCAGTTACCCCATCTATAAAACAGTAGATTTTACTTGATGATCATTCCTTTCATCACTAAATCCTCTGATACTGTTTTGGACAATAAGTGAATTTTATTTGTCTGTGTTTTTCTTGTTGCACAAGAGCGAAAATAATAGAGATGAAGGTGAATTTCCCCCCACCCCCCCAAATGTAGACATGATTTCTGACTATACAGGTCTAGAGATATTCCTCACCTGCTCCAAGTGGAAGACAGCTGCTGAGATTCTTTGCACTCGCTCCACTGTCTTTTCTGGATCAGAGGGCTCCTCATTCTTTAGAACATCCTTGTATAGGTTAAGTTGCCATTTTACAGCTGGATCATCAGACTGAAAACCAATGTATGTTCCAAGAGGTGACCAACCATATTTACCCTTGCCACTAGGTTTATAAAGAGAAATAAGTAGTACTGGATTCCCAAGAGAAAAAATACTGATAAAATGATTTTCCTCTCTGGCCTTCAGAGAACCAACTTTGAAGGTCATACCATTTCAGTGTTTAAAGAGACAAGAATTTCTGTTTCTCTCATCTTGCCTGAGGCATTCCTGGTCTATTTCCATGAATAAATGTAAGCCTATTGATTATGTTCACCATCTGGGAATAATGAATTGACAGGCTGAAACAGGACTAAAAGCTAATGCAAAATTAGAAACAATTACCTGGAAAATCTCAACCATTATGGAGAGCGGGGAAATTGTGTGAAGATCTGCATCAAATGGAAAGTGAGGGAAATTGTACAAGGATTTGCATCAAATATATGATGACTGTATTTCTGCCACAGCTGAAGGACTGTTATTTGTGTTCAGGTGTAGGCTGATTTCCCTTCTAAAGGAGAAGGTAGAAGAATGCTTTTCCACACTCCAGCCAGGGTCATCAGACTGAAATCTAGAGGCTGTTAGAGAGGATGAAGGGTTTCTAAAGGAAACAAGCAAAGTTTCAATGAGGAAAATGGGTTCTGAGGTGGAGGAGGGGAGATTTGACCACAGGCTGAGGGAAAATGGAAGAGTGTTAAACAGAGGAGAAAGGGAAGGAAAGGGGAACCTGAACCATTAAAGCTAAAAAAAAACAAAAACCCACAAAAACAAAACAAAAAAAAAACCGGATTTGAGACTTTCTAAAGAGGAGAGCAATGAATGTTTTGAGGAGAACAAGCTGTTCATTGTCCTAAGAATGATATAGTAGAGTCACAGATTGGGTGAGAGAGATCATCCAGTAAGGGACAGAAAAAGAAAAAATAGTAGAAATAGTTGGTAATTTGCTGTTTAGGGGTCCTGCCCCAAGGCTAATAAAACATGACAACTGCCTACTTCTTGGGCACAAATAACTCTTTTTGAAATAATTTAAAAAATACTGCCATATATTATGAAAACATGGGCAAGAAACTAGACCATAGAGTCAGAGGTTATGTTTTCCTTACTTTTGCCCTTCGGAGGACTTCATAATTTCCAGAAACTCTTCATGCTGTAAGATTAAATCACCTTTGAGATTCTCACTTCCTCAGATCATTTCCTACTCTGACTGTAGGTCTTCATCTTGTTCCCTAGTGGGGCAATTTCTCCACACTTCTCTTCCCCTCATGCCTCTCAGCTTTAAAAAAAAAAGCATCGTATGCCCCAATGGAATTCATTGTATTCCCCAATGAGCTCCTTGAGCACAGGGGCTGTCTTTTGCCATTCTTTGTATCCCCAGTGCTTAGCATAGTGCCTGGGCAACAAAGTAGGTATTTAATAAATATTTATTGACTGGGAATCTAAGAGACAAAGGATACAGAAAAGAAAAATTAATTTGGGAAATGAATAACTGGCTATGAAGATGGCATGTGAGAAAAGGATTTGAATTCCTGGATCATGGCTTAAAATACAGGGTTAGAAAATTTGGGGTTAGAAATGGAGTACAGCTAGCAAAGTCTGGTAAGAACATATTTTCCAAATCTAATAAAAAGGACTTTAGAGTAGAAATGATAAGGGAGGGAGAAGACTATCAGTGTGTATCTCCCAATTTAGATATATACAGAGTATCCACAAAAGAGAGTAATAGCAACTGGATACCTATAAACTCACAGTAGTCAACAAAATGGAAACTAGAGATCCTAATGCAATGGGGCAAATGATAGAAGTATCATTGAAACGCGGTGGAAAGAAACCAATAATGGGACTATGGCTCTTAAAAGAAATAAGCTAGCAGGGCAGCTAGGTGGCACAGTGGATAGAGCACTGGCCCTGGAATCAGGAGGACCTGAGATCAAACGTGGCCTCAGACACGTAAGACTCTTCCTGTGTGACTCTGGGCAAGCCATTTAACCCCAATTGCCTCACCAAAAAAAAAAAAAAAATTAAGCCAAGGAACAGGACTTAGGTATGTAGTATTATATATTAAAAAAGTATACTTATAAGAAATTAAGGAACCAGAGGTGGGGGGAAGCAGGATGGGGGTATTTGGATGAAGGTGAATGAAAGGAGGAAAAAGTAGTTTTGTCACTGGAGTATATACAGACTACTTGGAAAGAGAGAGTGAAAATAGATGAAAATTTGGGAACCAGATCACAAATGTGGCACAGAGGCATGACATAGTGGAGATGAGATGAACTTCTTCAATTCATTCTCATTCTCTCTCTGCAAAAAAACAGAACAGCTATTAATTTCTTAACTTGTCTTGGCTTTAATTTCATCCTTCAAAACCAGCAAGGGAAAATTCTATTCTGATCTGATTCTAACTAACAGAGAGAAACTAGTTGCTGGTGTGGAAGTGTTAGAAAGCTTAGGGAAAATGACTGCTCCATTCTTGAGTTTTTGATAGAAAAGGAAAGGAAATCTGGGTAGAGGTTAACATGTAATCTAGATTTTAGAAAGCAGATTTCAAAAAGTTTAGAGAAAAAATCAGTAGGTTCCTATGGAGTAAAAAGCTTCTGCTCTCAAAGAATAGGAAGTGTTGAAAATTAAAATTCTGAAAACACAAAAAGGAAGCAACTTCAATGAGAAGGAAAATCGGGATTTGTCTGAACAGAGCAGTAGTAATAAGTAGGGAAATCACCAACCAACTTATATTTAAAGAAACAAAACAGAGAAGCTGGAAGCAAGACCATGATGAAGATTATGAGACCATGGCACAGTCCTCTAAAAATGTTACAAGTAATGATAAAACTGAAAATGAGCTGAGATTGGTAAGGGAAATAAAGGACAATAAAAAAATTTTTTTTAAAGGCTACACTGGGAGAACAAGAGGGATTGAAGAAGGGATAGATGGGAGCTTTGGTTGGGATGTTTTCAACAAGGATAACTGATAATAGAAGATAAAGATGCTTAACTTTTAAGGGGTTTCTGTTTTCTCAGTAAAGGATCATTACATTGGAAATGAATGGCAAAACACAGGTGACTAATTGGGAGTGAGTGAGGAAACAAGCATTTAGTAAATACCTATTATATACTCAACACTGTGCTAAGCACTTCACAAATATTATCTCATTTAACAGGGAGCTTATATATTCAAGATAAATAGATATCCAGGAGATAGTAAGGAGGTACCTAGTTGCTTTGGATGAATTTAAGTGACTTGGCCCAAATGAATTACACCCTTAGGTATTAAAAAAAATGGCAGATGTGATTGCTAAACCAAAGATATCATGGAAAACAGGAGTAGTGTTACAAGATTAGAGGACAAATATTGTCCCAATTTTTCCTAAAAGAAAAGAAAGCAATCTGCAAACTATAGGCCAGTAAGTTTGACTTTGATTCCTGGGAAAAATTCTAGAATGAATTATTTTAAAAAGAATTAGAGAAGATCTAGAAAGGGAAACAGTGATTTAAAAGAGCCAGCTTCTTCAAGAACTGACTGTATCTGGTTGACCACATTTTCTTTTTTTGTCAGTATTCTTAAACTAGTACATAAGGGGAACCCTGTGGGTATTGCTTAACTAGATTTTATCAAAGTTTCTGATGAAGTATCTTATACTATTCATATGGAAAATATTTTGAGATATAGATTAGACAATTAGATGCATGCAGGACTGGGTGGATAGCTGTACTCATGGTTCATTGTCAATGTGGTAGAAAGTTTCTAGTGGAGTACCCCAGGAATCTATGGTGGCCAATTGCTATGGAGCTTTTTTTTTTATCAATGACTTAGAAAAAGGTATAGATGGTATGCTAATCAAATTTGCACATGATGCCCAGCTGGGAGGGACAGATAGTACAGTCAGAATCTAAAAGGATCTCCATGGGCTAGGACAATGGGCTAAATGCAAAAACACAAAACTCAAAAGGGATAAACACAAAGCCTTTCATTAGGGTACAAAAATCAACTTCACATATATAAAACAGGGGAGATATTAATAGACAGCAGTTGTTCTGAAGAGAATCTGGGTGTTTTAGTGGACAGCAAACTTAAATTGTGGCAGCAGTCTAATGAGGCAGCCAGAAAAGTCAATGTAATCTTGGACTGCATTGAGAGGCATAGCTTCCAGAATAGGGAGGAGACAATCATACTGCCCTTACCATAACTTATTTGGAGTACTGTGTTCAGTTTTAAGTTCCATGGTAGATGGAGAGTATATAGAGGAGGGCAACCAGGAAGGACTTGAATTCATGTTTTATGACTTGAATTCATGTTTTATGAGGATGAATTGAAGGAACTGGGCATGTTTAGTTTGGAGAAGAAAAGTTTTAGGAGGGACATAATCTCTGTCCTTAGGGATGTGAAGGGCTGTCACATGTAAGAGAGATTGGACTTCTTCCTTTTGGTCCAAGAGAACAGAACTTGAAGTAAAAGGTAGAATTTGCAAAGAGGCCAATTTAAGCTTTACACTAGGGAAAAAAAAAAAACAACTTCCCCACAATTAGAGCTGTTCAAAAGAATAAAGGGACTGCATGAAGAGGTGGTGGGTTTCCCCTCCTTTGAGCTCTTAAAACAGAGGCTGAACAGCCACTTGTTGAGTATGTCATAGGTGGCTTTCCTTTTATGTCCTGGTTGGACTAGATGGCTGCTGAGATCCCTTCTCAAATTCCGTGATTCTTTGATCATGTGAATGTCAGAAGAAGAGCCACTCTGCTGTATAAACAGACAGACAACTGTTTTTGAATGCCAAGGGTATCTTCTCTTCAATAGCATTTTAAGATAGGCATTCCCAATATTTTAACAAGGATGAGCAATAGGTTAGCATAATGACAACATAGGAATATAACCTTTACAAACCACATATGGTCACCTTAACCTCATCCACTGAATTGAACTATGTACCAAGTTATAAATTAGTCTCTATTAAGTACTGACTTATTTTTAAAAGATATTTAAAAACAACATTTATTAATATTTTTTGTTCTATTCTTTCCCCCCCACCCTTCCAGGCTCATTTCTACTCTTCCTGGTATGGCTGAGGATTCTTATGATATTATCCTTCCTTCTTTTTCCCTTTTCCCCTCTCTACTATGAAAGTGATTTTCTTTAGAAAATCTTTAGACATATAGAAAAACTGAGAGCCTCCTGAGGAAGAGAAGCACTAGACTAGAAAAGCATGCATAATCTCTTCATCTATCTTACTACTTTTAGAATTACTTGCACCATTTCAGATGTGAATACATTTAGTTTCAAAATCTCTTGGGAGGAGATAACTTCTCTCAGGTAACAAAGTCAATGTCTTATCAGCTTCATTGTTAAGAAATTCACAAATTTAATCCAATGCTTCTTACTGCATTTCAATCAATTTTTTCATGACTCATTTTCACATTTGATGAAGGATACCTAGTCACCATTTTCTGAATGATCCATCCTCAGTCTTTTTTCTATATATCCTGAAATGTCATTAGTATGTCAATGAAATCCTAGATTTATTGTAGAAAAACAAAGGAATAAGTTTTTTTAAATACAGAAAGAAAATTTGGTTAAAAAAAACTTAGAGATCATTTTGAGAATATTTTTTAAAACTGTATATTAACTCCAAAGGGATCAGCAAAATCCTTCAATGATCATTTCTGTCTGTTAAAAAGTATGGACTTATACAAGCTCAGTGTCTCCTTATGATATTACCTTTTCCTGCAAGTGCAGGTTATTCCTCAGATGATCTTTGACTTCTTCATCTGTATCCCTCTGTGGAAAGATATTTTGAATTTTATTACTTGTGGTCTCTGCCACCTATTGGGGTGAGGGAGATAAGTGAGTGATAAACTGGGATTGCTAGTACATTGTACAACTAAAGATGAAAAAAAAAACCCCCAAAAATGAGATACAGAAGTAATAGATTTATCTTGGATCAGGCACCAGGTCCTAGAATAGTTTTAATAACTAAGCTTTTACTCTTCTATGAATCTTGGTTTTTCTATCTGCAAAAATGAGGCATAATAGCAGTTATTGCCAAAATGCCTGTAATGAGGGTTGAGAAGGATGATGTTTCAAAGATATTAATATGTTTTTTAAAACTGCAGGTATGAGCATTATTATTATAGCATTAAAACTCAGGCAATGTCCAAAGGAGTGACCTATTGTAATTATCACCCATAGCAGATTAGCCAAGTGCATTACAAATAGCAGAGAATCACGACTTACATAACTGTATCTTATTTTTGCCAGGGAGATCAGCTCCTGATCACCTGGAGTACACATATTTAAGCCAATGGGCAACATTTTCTTCAGTGCAGCCACAATAAGAGACGTCTGGATGGAATATAAATCACCCCTCCTCTTTGTCTTCTTCCGCTCCTGGTCTTGTCCTCCAGACTAGAAATTGATGCCAAAAAAAGAAAGAAGAGAAAAGAGAGAACGAAAGAGCATCTCAGTGGTTTTTTGAAGGGATCTGCTTTCCCAACAAGTAGCCTGCTTCCTTGTGGCTCATGGCTTTTTGAGATTACAAATAGGGCCCAATAACATTTCAAAGGACAATAAAAATTGGTGGACTAAAGAAACAACATGTAATCATGTAAGCAATAAAATAATTTTGCTCATTATTAAGGTAAATAAGAATATTATGAAGAATGAAAGTTTTAATTATACTGATCTGAGGCCTATCTCTCTCTATATCTATAGATGTATAGATATAGGAAGATATAGATATATTTCTCACATACATTCCAATACCTTCTTGATCTCATATATTTCTGGATCAGACAGACAGTAAAAGGAGCTGGTAGCATTCTTAAAATGATTTGATTTCCTGATCAAATTTATGTTGGAAAGAAATAGTGTTCTTTATGCTTAACAGAAAATTTTTAAAGGGATATTCCAATTCCCTTAGCAAAACTGAAGATGTTCTACATGGTGGGGTACTAGAGTTGCTATGGTCCAACTTAACTATCATTCCTGTACCAAAAAGCCAGTAGCAGCAGTCAATTTAACCATCCTCAAGCTGAGGCAATGTGAAAACTCTCCTAGAAAAAAGGAAAATCTTGAGTAGAGTTCTGTTAAGGGGAGATGCTAATAGAGGCAAGAACCCTAGGCAAAAAGAAAAAAAAAGTTTCTATTTCTGCAATTAAACTGATCCTTCTCTCCTTCCTCCTTTCTTAATCCTTTCAGAGATAGTTCATCAAAAATGTATTGAAGTAGTAGATTTAAGATAGCCATCTAAAGTTCTGAGCAGCATGTAGCTGGTAGTAAATCACATTCCACTTGGCCAATATATAGAACTCATTCTACATGATATGAACTGGGTACAAGTGACAAATGGGGCTCACTTCCCTCCTAGACTCTGGATGAGAACAAAACCCTAGATATGGATCTCTCTCTCTTTCCCTCTATCTTTCTCTCTGTCTCTCTCTCTCCTTCTCTGTGCTTCAGGTGGGGAGAGGTTTGGTAGGTAGAAGGAAGGAAGGTGGTGAGGAAAGAGTAGGATGATTTAGAGATGGTGAAGAAGAAGAAATTTATGTCCACCAAAGCTTTGCTTTCAGAAATGCCCATGGAAATGTTGAGGGCAATGAAATGATAATAGCACTATGGTTTACAATGTAACACCAACAAAGGCCCAAATACTGTTGTGTGGACTACTGACAGACAAGATGGTTTCCCCACATTTTGTGGCACTGATATTCAACCTAAGTCCTAGGGTAAAGCAGGCTTTATTTTTTTTTTTTTAAATAGGAGATAGGCTTTATGAGGATGCAAGTGGCTAGAAGACAGCTTTGTGACTGCCCTTATTCCTTCCTCCAAATTGTTCAGTTCAATTTAATTTTGGTAGAAGAAGGTACTCTTAGAAATGCAGATCTCATTTTTTTTTAAAAGCCTGCCATTCCCCTTCTTCTAGGAAGGTTAAACAATTCCCATTTTACCTCTGACCGTGGGTAAAACCCTCCCACTCCCAACTTCCCAGTCTGTTGCAAGAATTTCTAATTGTTTGAGACCATAGGCTAGAGAATACATAAGTTGCAAGAAGTGTTCTCTGTGGTCTGATGTATCTAAAGGTGGTTACATGTAGAGAAATCACCAGGGAGTCCCTGGGGCCTAAATGGCCACATACTGCTAGTATTTTTCAGGCATATTGAAGGCACTCAGCACTCAAGCTTCCATAAGAAACCAGGGCTAAGTGGGAGGGAGAACCTTTAAGAGGGAAGGAAGGAAATAAGTGCCTGGGGCAAGAGGAGGAGGGTAACCATACATTAAGTTCCCCAGAACACAGCAAAAAGTGAAAACGATTGTTCTCCAAAATAGGGTTTGGGCCATTGTTTATTTGTCTAGAGTTAATGTAAATCTGGCCCCAGTTCAAAATGTCTTTCTCATCTCTGGCATAGGCACTAGGTGGAGTGGTCTGTAGGCTAGAAGGAATATATGGAGAGAAAGAAAAAGAAACCAGTTTTAGAAGTAACCTGAAAATTGCTCAAGTAGAGATTTTATAAGTTATATAACCACCACCATCACCACCACCACCACCACCAAAATCCAACTTCACTGGTCTTCCTATTTCAAATGCCTAAGTGGACCCTGGGGGAAATGGCAATGGAGCATACTGGTTTTTCATAAGAATCACCTTATGGTTCCTTAGAGCAAGGGCAATAACCAGGACTTTTCTGGTAGCTTTGAAAAGCCAAGGACTACCTATGGAAAACAGTGGCATTTTCAACATGAAAGCAATAAAACTAAGTGATGGCCCAGACTGACAAGCCTGCATGTCCGCATCTTTGTCAGAGTTGTTCCTAAAAGGCACTGCTGGGGAATATCCTGGAATATACTGATTGGAATATCCTTCCAACTAGACTAGAGTGAGGTGAGGATGGCATCTTCCATCCAAGAACCTAAATTCATTAATTCTATGGAAGAGCAACCATGTTCACTGATCCAGGATGGAGAATTCCAGGTGGGGAAAATCCATGCCATACCACCCTCATGGCAATCACAATGAAGAGGGTAACCAGAGTCTGGCACCTCTATTACTAGAACAGAAAAGACACATCATGCATGCATTTGACCTGTACCTTTACTTGCATGGCCTGTGTGAAAAGAAAAAAAAAAGAAACAATAGGAGAAGAGTCAGTTGAGGCAGGGGGCCCACTCTATAATGTACTACATAATAGTCACAGTTTCTTGATCAACAGAATGGAAAATCAATGGTACTTTGAAGTAAGTGGCACATTGTGTGATAACCAGATGGACAGTTAAGGTGCAGAATTAATGAGGTTGAATTTTGTCATTGGGTAGAAAAAAACATTCAAACCCAACAATCTACTATTAAAGTGAGCTCATTTCAGCGGTTACTATTCCAGAGTGTCTGATATTCTGGGTCTGATTAGCAACTGGTTCATTAGCTTCTATCATAAGCTCATGAAATTTAACATCTTTCCCTTAACTAAATAAGGAAGAGAACTGCTTCTCTTTTCTTTCTCTCCCCTTCAATCCTGTCTTTCAGACTATATATCCCCACCACCCCCCATCTTCATTAGAAGGAACTAAGGCACAGTCTACAGCTTCTTGGAATATCATTCTCATTTTCAAACAATATTGTCTCCTCGACTTTTAAGTCTATTTCAAGTGAAGAGACAATATGCATTGCTTCTTTTTGCTACTGTTAACTAATTCAATGATAGATTTTATTATTATCGGTCCTTATGATCTGGGCTGGAATTTTTTTTTAATCGCCTTAATAAATTTTACATGTCATTTTGTTCCTTTTCTGTGCAATTATAACATTCTACTTTATATTACAGTTATTTCCATCTTATTTGCTCAACTAGACTATATGATCCTTGAGAAGATGCCTTACTTATCATTGAATCTTCCTGATCACTGAGCACAGTAGACCTAGACTTTAAATGCCTGTTGAATTGAACCTACCAATGTTAAAATTCCAATGAAAGAAACCTCTGCTGTCTAATCAGAAAAAATTATGGATTTCTAAAATAACCACTTCTATATCATTTAACTCCCATATTTAACATTCCCATGAATCAAAGAGCAGTAATCATGTGTTTTCAGAGACTGGAGTGGCTTCTCAGGCAACATGTAACACAGTAATTGTTGAAGCAGATATCATACTAAAATTCTAGGTATGGCACAGTTTTTACACAATTGCACCCTTTCTCTGCATAAATATGGTCTATTGTCAGACCCTGACTTACATGTGTCCTTCATATACAAACAGTGTGCTACACCAGCCTCTCACAATATTTTCCTTAAGTCCCTGTCCTCATTTCTCATCTCCCTTCATCTCTACCTCCTACCCTACTTAAGCTCCTGCCCCAAACTATAGAAACTCCAGTGGCTTGGAACCAAAGGAGTTCTTGTTTTCACTGCCATGTAGATGGGAAGACACAAAGACAAGGATTCATGATTCCACCATAGGAAGTAGTGCAAGCTGAACTTTGGAAGCTTTTTCCACAAATTGATTACTTAGGGTGTACAAGTTCTGTTATATTTTTAGCATACGTATATATGCACTATTTATTATTTCATTAGCATGTGGAATTCCATTGACCTAGACTTAATAAATAAGTCCTACCCACTATTCTGTGAAGCTCCATTTTGAATTAGGACAGTCCTGTATTTCAGTCATATTACAGATTAAATAGGTGTTTATGACTTGGTCTGCAAATTTAACAGGCATATAAAAAAGTCATTCTATGATAAAGTGCATCCTGAATTCTAAAAAACTGACTTATAAACAAAACTTCTGTAATACAATCTGTTCACACAAATTGGTGACTGTCTATATTTTCATATGGTGATAGGAAAGCAAAATTAGAGGAAAACCAATAGAATTTTAGCTGTCAATGTACATGCTGTGTTCAGGGGCATCTTCTTATGTATGTGCACAAATGAATGAGAAACAGTAAATGTAATTGTGTTTGTTTCTTAAAAACATTAATGGACACCTGCATCAAAAACATTTTCAAAGATTTTCCAATAATTTTTATTAATGCTCCAAGGTTAGTCAATATGATACTCGCTGTATCTTTTGCATTACTAACCTGCTCTTTTAAACCTGGTGAAGAAACTAGTACATCTTGAGCTGAACATTTTCTAACTTACCATTCCCCTCCGAGGAAGCTGCTGCCATTTTTCCAGAAAAAAAAATAAATTAAAAACAAAGAAACACTTGCTCAGCTTTAGTATATTTAGCTTAACATATATTAGCACACTAATGTCATGTAAACAAAATATACAATGAGCATTCTACAAAATGATTTTTCAATTTCCAGGAAAAAATACAGCTTTGGAATCAAATGTAAGTGAATCTGATTTGAAGAGTTTTGCTCACGGTATATTTTCTTTATTTCAACTTTCTTTATGTTTATGTAATCACATATGGAGTAGGAATGAGCATGCAGCATTCATGTCCACATACCTTGACACAGACCAGAATGTGCAGAAATACTTATAATTTATACCAAACCAGAATTCAATGAAGAGTGGAGTAAAAGCAAGCACAAGAGGGAGAGGCCATGAACCTTGTTCACAAAGTAGAGAGGGGAAATCTTATCACAGGCAAATGGGGACGAATAGGGGAATCAACTGATGTTAATTAATAATACCACTCCTAGGCCCTAAATGCTTTCCTAGATTAGAAATATCCACGGAAAGCCTGAAAACAATAATAGCAACAATAATTGACATTTACATGGCACTTTGGTAGTTCGCAAAGCATTGTTATTTGAGTCTCACAACAACTCTGTGAGAAGGTATTGTAGGTATTATTATCCCCATTTTTACAGATGAGAAAACTGAGGCTTGGAAAAGATAAGTAATTTGCCTATAGTCACATAGCTAGTTAGGTATCACAGGAAGTATATAAATTTAAGTCTGTTTACTTTGCCACATTACTTCTAGTGAAGTATCCTTATTAAGAGGAAGATAATCTCACAGAAGGTACATATTGCCCAGAGCTGAGTGTGACCTTTTGATTTTAATCTGGGAATAGGAACCTAGAATCCTGATAAGGCCTCTAAATTGAGGTATTCTTAGTTGAAACTAGCCAAGCCCTGATTAAGACATCATATTCTAAAAGAAATACATCCCTCCTTAATCTTTAGCGATTAGTGTTAAACATTGTAGATATAATATAGACATAGGATAGACATAAATGTTTAGCCTCTAGATAGATAAATTTCTTCCATTGTAATAATCCTCTGCATCTATACCAGGGGTGGGGAACCTGCAGCCTTGAGGCTACTTGTGGCCTTCTAGGTCCTTGGGTGTGGCCTTTTTATTGAAGTCAAGTTTTAAGGAACAAATTCTTTTATTAAGGAGATTTGTTCTGAAAAGTTTGGATTCAGTCAAAGGGACAGTTTTAAGGACCTACAGGGCCACGGGCTCCCCACCCCTGGTCTATACAATGCCCACCTGTCCTCAAAAAGTTAACTCTAGCAGACTGAATTTAGAGCACAACCTTTTGATGAACTTTATAGAGAGAGCAAGTTAGAAGAGAAATCTTCATTTTACTAGGGTGAAAATTAAGATACAGAAGAATTTAATGACTGGTCTCTGGTCACACAGCAAGTGAATAAAAACACAGGGCCTTCTGATTAATAATAATAGTTAGTATTTACATAGCATTCTAAGGTTTGCAAAGTACTTTACAAATATAATCTTATTTTATCCTCACAACCTCTCTGGGAGGTAGGTGCTATCATTATCCCCATTTTAAAGATGAAGAGACTGAGGTAGACAGGTTAAATGGTTTGTCCAGGGTCACACAGTTAGTGTCTGAGGTCAATTTGAACTTGGGTTTTCCTGACTCTAGCATCAGCACTCTATCCAATTTGCTACTTAGCTGTCTATGACTTTCAGTCTTTTGCCTCATTTCTGAAATCACACTGCCTCTCAACTCTCAAGGGAGCAATAAGAAAGATTTCATCTTGAGGAATATGGTGAGTATTAGTTAACATCCAAGAAATGCTTTGTAGTATATGATGACACTAACATATAAAGACGTAGTACCACAGTTGACTGATCCACATAGAAAAGATTTGCAAATTATACAAAGGAAAATGAAAATGCAATGATTTGCCCCTGTAGTCTTATATTACAACTACAGACTTCTCAAAAGGGAACACAGTACTTTAATATTTTTGAAAGTATGCATTCATAAGCAAGCATCTAAATGCTGTGTTATAAAGGAATTAAAATAACAATAAGAAAGTGTCCACAAGGATTCTGTCTTTCTATCTCTGGTCCCTAGCATAGTGTGTTGCACATAACAGGTGCTTAATAAATGTTTGTTGAATTGAATATATTTATGCTCTATTTAATATTATATATATTTCCTCTTCCTAAATAAGTGGTCACACTGAAGAACCATGTTGGGCTACGGTTAATTTTGAAATGTCATCATTCAGTTTCACCTGATTTGGTCAACAATCACAAATCCAAGGAACTTAGGCCACCCCTCATCAGAAAGGTGAAACCCAGGGTCATCTGTATTGAACTTCTCTTTTTCTGTGAATGTTGGCCTAGTTAGGAAAAAATGGGTAAGACAGTCAAAGGCGTAAGGAAAGACTAATTGATTGGACATGCTGCCATGACTGTAAGAAGGAAGAGAAATTGTTCAGTGAGTTGGGGACTATGATTTCAATTCAAAATAAAATTTTCCCACTGGGAACCAGAGCCCAAGGCAATACCCTAAGGGTGAGACCAATAGTTGACATCAGGTCAGAATTCAGCAATAGGGACCCAGGATAGGATATAACCCTTATTGTACCTGTGCTTTACCTCAGCAACAACTGTGCTAATAACAAAATAAAATAATTTTAAAAATTTTCTAAGAACACTTGTAAAAAGGGAACAAATAAAAATGGAATTATGTTATCATAAAGAATCTTCTAATAATGTGAATTAACTCCCTTGCCCCCAGTTTATCTATTCCATAAATTTCAATTTGTACTACTTTTTTACTAAAGCAGATACAAAAGTCACATAGTCATTTCTGGTTCCCCAAAGCAGAAATCACAGCACAGTAAACTGGAGACATTATGAAATTTGGAACCAAAGGAAGAAGAAAACTCATGAATGTTACATTGAATCTGTTGCTTCCTACACTAAGTTCGAATCCAAAACTAGCTGTATTTTTTAGTTTTATAGTCTTGAGTGATCCTTTTAGTGTAATTCTAGCATTTGCTTACAATCTTAAATAGAACAAAGGCATTATCATGACTCACTTGTGAATCAATGGCTCTTTGTAGTAGTGATTTTAACTTACTAGGGAATCCTCCTGAGAAATTCACCAGCATATTCTTACATATGCAGTCCCTTATCTAGATTGAGTGATGTATGGTGGATACATGCACTACCATGTATTATATGTTACACATACTTTTACAAATACAGTCAACTCTCAATAATTCTCACTTATGAAAGGAAATGGGGGCCCAATTAATACATAGCAGTGAATGATACACAAGTCATTTAGAGCTGCCTTTCATTTTGTACTTACATTTGGACATAGGTATATTTAGTGATTTAGGAATTCATATAAAAAAAATGAAACTGCAGTCTGAAAACCTGACGTAGAAAAGCTAGGACACTTATTTCCTCTTCATGTCCCTCCTACTTAATTCCTTCTTAACATTCCCTACTGTTGGGAAGAGGTGATCCTCTTTTAGAATCATAACACTGTTTCAAACGTTCCAAGGAGCAGTGGAAACATTTCAGTTTCTGAGGGCTTCTTTGCATGTAAAAGTGAGGGTTCTGAGATGTGTCAGTTAAACATGTATGTGAAGTAGAGCATGTGCTATCAATAATTTTCAAAGCAAGATTTTCCAATTGGAGTCTATTCCCTAACAGATAATCAAGAGTTGACAGTATTATATGTGTCTGCATTTTTTTTTTTAAGTACTAGGTAGCTCTATTTTAAAAGCCTAAGTTATGGCTTTTAAGAAAAATCTTTTGAGCAAGAAACCTTTAAAATGTATTATGCAAGTCCTAAAACTTCATTTGTCTCTTTTTCAGTATATACAGCAACACTTTACTCATAAAATAGGATGACTGTGTATATTTAGGTACAGACATTTTGTTCTGAATAATTTTCAGGAAATAACAACGGATTTTTTTTGGTTTTTGCTTGGCCTATCTGCAGAAAAATTGCCTGAATGCAGAATTAATCCCAGAAAAGTATCAGCTATCTAAATCATGACTGGGTCCTGAGGTTGAATAGCCCTTTAAAATGACACCTACTGACTTACTTTTGACATCTTGCTCTTGCTGTCTCCAGTTAAAAATGCCAGATTGTTAATTTCATTCTGAATCACAAAATTTTGCTCTTCCCTCTTGAAGTTCTGGGGTTAGACAAGGTAAAAATAAAACAAACATTACTGCAAAGTTTCCAGAAAATAGGCTTTTTTTGACAAGGATCTTAAACACAGGGAATGAGGAGTCAGCTTACGTGTGATTTACACCAAAGGATAAAAACCTCAGCCACCATTCTGAAGAGCTCATCAGAATCAGCATCTGGGTTTTTTAGCCAGTTAGATCTAGGGCAAAGAATAAATAAATTACATTGTGTAAATTATCAAATACTCCATTTTGAGATAGCTAAATTATGAACTACTATTCCCACCATTTAAAACCAATAACCCCTACAAATATCAAAGCTGAAAAATGAAATGAAAACTATTAGGAAGAGAAGAAACTAATATTCTTTGCTTTGTTCAAAGGGCAAAGATTTAAATACTCTTTGTCATGACGCTATTCTACATTTGGGGCTTCACTGAATATTAATGCTAATGATCATAATGAGAAGAGAGGTACAGAGGAATAAGCTTTGGACCCAGGTCAGAAGAGACTGGCTTTTGGAAAAGTAGTTGGGTAATGTTGGGCAAGTCACTTCACATTTCTAGGCCTGAACTTCTTCATCTTTAAAAATGGAGGGTTAAACTAAGTTAGCTGTAAGATCCCTTTATATCAGCATATTCTACATTAAGAAAAATCTAATCAAATTTATTCCTACTAAGTTGTAGCATATAATTTGTGTTTAGGGATATGCATACATTTAAGGCAAGATATTTTTGAAACACCTGAATTGAATACACCATACATGTGATTCTGCCTTGAAGAGTACTTTGTGAGGGGGGGGGATATATGTGCATATACTTGTATATACACACACATGCATATATATTTGAAGAAGAAATGCTAGGCTAAAAGTAAAAAGTGGCACCTTTTCAATTCACACAGGCAGTCTGTCAAGGGAAACCTGGTTCACTCAGTAAAACTTGATTTTTATTGCTACAGACTTCTGAAACAGAAAATTTTAAATAAATACAGAGTAGAACTAAGCCCTGATTTTTTTCTTTTTTTAGAGCCAGGTCAATCTATAATTGTCATAAACATGGTGACCATATTTTCCATTTCAAAGATAGAATGTATGATCTGACCAAATCTTTACTTTTTGCAAAACCTGATAAAAGTGTGTTTTTTCCTCAAATTTGAGGAAGGATGGCAAAAATTTAGGACATGTTGGTTTATTATAGATACATATGTCCCACTATCTCATATGTTGCAATAATTTAGGGCAGCAATGGCCCAATGTAATTTTGAAACTATAACCCATCTTATTGAAGGACTTCCTTAAAAAATAAAAAGCCTTATCTTTTTTTCAAACTACTACCTAACACAGTGTCTTTTCTGACAATGAGAAAAAAAAAGGCACAATAATTATAGGGAAGTGCAAATCCACTGTTGACTAGAACAGTTAAACAAATGAATATGGCTTCTTCCTTAAAACTGACCTGTTCTTAAAATCACTGATTTGGAGACTTGGTGAAGAGTTTGATCTGAGTTGTTCTGCTCAAGGATACTTATGTTTCAGGTAGGTGTAGGCCTAGATGAATTACAGGGTCCCCTCCAAGTATGAAATTCTGATTCCTGGGCTTCAAATGTGCAGAGCTTCTATTCTTTTTTTTCCCTTTTTTGTAAGGTTAACATTTAGTTTATATCCCAATAGCTACACTGAACCCTCTCTTGTTAAATTAAGCAATTTAGCAAAACCAACTGAAAAACTGACGCTGAGTGAGGTTGCATACAATATTTTGTACTAGCAGTTCCCAACTTCTCCTCTGAGAGGAGTGGTGGTTCATCCTTTGTTCTCCAGGATCAACATTAATCATTGCTTTTACTCTAAATTCATTTCCTTCTTTGCATTGTCTTTGTTTAACCACTGTGGTCACTAAATATGTTTTTCTTCTTATTCTGTCTTATACCAGCTCATATAAACCTTTCTGGCCCTTTGACTGAATCCAAATTTCACAGAACAAATCCCTTTATTAAGGGGATTTGTTCTATAAAACTTGAACCCAGTGAAAAGGCTGCACCCAAGGACCTAGAAGGCCACTTGTGGCCTCAAGGCTGCAGTTTCCCCACCCCTGACTAGAAGGCCATTTACAATCTGTGTTTTACAGAAGAAATTTCTGAGCTTGTGAGTTTATTCAAAACACACTTTTCACCATCACCATCACTTACTGAGACCCTTCAATTCAGTATTTTATTTGCTCTTGGGGAATGTCAGTGTATCTGAGACTCTACGTGGTACCATACTTTGATAATGTTCTGATTATGAATCAACAGAGAATAAATTCATGGGAAAAGTTCAGGAAGTACTACTTTTTTTTTTAATGTATCAGGTACATAAGTAAGAAATGACATAATGTGAAATTAGAATTTTCTTTTCTTTCCTTTTTTTTGGGGGGGGGTGGGCAATGGGATTAAGTGACTTGCCCAGGGTCACACAGCTAGTAAGTGTTATGTGTCTGAGGCCAGATTTGAACTCAGGTCCTCCTGAATCCAGGGCCAGTGCTCTATCTACTGCGTCACCTAGCTACCCTAAAATGAGAATTTTCAATGTCAGTTTCTTAGGCTATATCATTAATGCTTAGAAAGCCTATTTCAAATGATATCAAAGCAGCAATCATGAAAATCATCTGGTATTGTTTGGAAAATAAGAGAGGAGGATCAATGGAACAGACTAGAAATTGGAGAATAAGAAACAATAGTACTCAACAACCCAGGGTTCAATAAACCAAAAAATATAAATTACTTAGGAAAGAACTCCCTATTTGGGGGAATTCTGGGAAAACTGGAGAGCAGCTTGGCAGAAATTAGGCTTAGATGAACATCTTACAATATATTCCAAGATATATTCTAAATGGTTATATGACCTTAACATTAAAGAGCATATTATATAAAAATATAAGAAAAGCAGATCACATACTTCTCATAACTATAGGTAGGATAAACATGGGATAGAGACAATTATAAAAGATAAAATAGATAACTGATTACATGAATCTGAGAAGTTCTGCTTAGACAAAATTCATGCACCTAGGATAAGAAAGGTAGTTGATGAATAGAAAAAAACATCTTTGTTGGCAAATATCTCTGATAAGGATTTGGTATCCAAGATATATCAACAATTAACACACACATATTCCCTAGTAGATAAGTGGTCAGAAGATATGAACAGTTTTTAAAAGAATTGAAATTTATTAATGATCATATGAAAGTATGGTCCAAATTACTAATAATAAGAGAAATGAACATCAAAACAGCCCTGAGGTTTCATCTCACACCCTGCAAAATGGCAAAGATAACAAAAGATGGGAAAAGTCAATGTTTGAGGGATTATAGGATGATAGTCAAACTGATGCATTGTTATTGCTGCTGTTTTGAAAATTTTGGAAAGCAATTTGGAATTCTGCGAATAAAGTGACTAAAATGTCCATACTCTTTGCCCCAGAAATTTCATTACTGTGCTTATATCCCAAGGAAGTCATTGATAAGAAGCAAATCTCCTTATACACCTAAATGTTTATAGCAGCACTTTTCATTATAGCAAAGAATTGAAAATAAAGTAGATGGCCATTAGTTGTGGAATAGCTAAACAAACTGTGGTACATGGATATAATGGAATACTGCTTTGCTGTAAGAAATGACCAATGTGATAAATACAGAGAAGTATGAAAAAAATCCACATGAACTAATGTAAAATGAAGTAAGCTGATCTAAGAAAACAACATGTATAATGACTACAGCAATATAAGTGGAAAGAACTATACACACAGAAATATCAAAACTGAATGCTGCAAAATTACAAAGAATAAATATGACTCATTAAAACAAAACAAAACAATGTTCCACTGGTATTGCTATGTGACTGTTGATCTCCAAATACCAAAATCTTTCATAAATTTAAAATGAGGATCATTCCTAGTAGATAGGCAAATGGTATGTGAAACCAGATTGCATACAAGAAACCATAAAGAAGAAAGAGAATAAAGTACATTAAAGAAATTTATGATCTAAAAAGAATAGGCTGGTTATACAGTAACAGCAAGAAATAACTGATGGAGACCTCACCTTCCAACCTGCCTAGTAATCCACCGGTATCCTTGTGAGGTGAGAAGAAAGTGACAGAAGCCCCCAGCATAACATCACCTAACTTGGACAAGAGTTGCACCAGGTATCTGGGCAGAAAAGTGTGGATTGCAATGTGTTATCCCTAGAGAGAATATCTAAATCAGTGAGATCACAGACCTATTGCAGTATTTGAGTATTTTAAGAGGAGTTACGTAGATTACTCATCAAAAATTCATATTCAATCTCAAAGGAAAAATTAGTTTCTCTTTCTTCTTTTATTATTACACTGAATAGAAGAAACATGTTCTTAGATCCTGGAGTACTGTATTCTGTTCTGGGCACCACATTTTAGAAAAGATGTTGGCAAAGTGGAGCATTATCCACAGGAAGGTGATCAGGATGGTGAAGAATTAATACCACACAGAGACTGGGTAAAGGAACTTGGTAAAGAAGCATGGAGAAGAGAAGTCTGAGGGGGTTTGATAGCCACCTTTGGGTATTTGAAGTGCTGTCTTTTGGAGGAGATTAGATCTGTTTTGCTTGACCTAGAGGGCAAAGTATTTACTTAGTATTTTAAGGTCTTCAAAGTGCTTTACAATCAATCCTCACAACTCTGTCAGGTAGGTGTTATTATCATCCCCATTTTACACATGATGAAATGGAGACACAGATTAGGTGAGTTGCCCAGTTCACAGCCAGTAAATATCTCAGGCAGAATTTGAACTCAGGTCTTCCTGTCCTGCCCAGTCGAGTTTATCAACTGTGCCCCTTAGCTGTTCATAGTTGGAAGTTATTAAGACATATTTAAATTCAATTAGAGCAAAAGTGAAATGGGATATCTCAACAGGCAGTGTCTCCATCACTAGAAATCTTCAAGTGGAGCTTAGACATTGTTAGAGATCTTTTAGAGGAGGTTCTTGCTTGGTCCCAGAGGTCAGAAGTAGAAGATACAGATGCAGATGCAGAGAGGCATATTTTTGGCTCAATCTAAGTACAAACATCCTCACTATTCCAGCTTTTCATAAGTCCAACTGGCTGACTTGGGAGGTAATGAGTTTCTAATCCACTGAGGTATTCCACCAGAGGAAGGATAATCACTTCCAATCAGGGGATGATGAAG